ATATGGTGCACTCGCTTATAATGTACGTTATCACATTTTGATACCAACGTCCACCCATAATCCCCTATTTCACATATTCACTTTTCATACATTCCATACCTTTTGTATATCTACAGATATTATTTCTTGCTTCAAGTTCAAGCTTTTCAAGTTTCAAGTTTCACCCCTACTAGTCCAAACATTGAAATCTGCCAGTCTCAGCTCCTATTACCATCAGTCCAGCCTTCCAGGTTATTTATTCCACATCACTGACCTTCTCCCAGCCACAGTTACTGATGCCTACCCCGAAGAACGATCGCGAGTCGCGCGACCACAGTCGAGGCGGTCACGTCAACTCAAGAGGTAGTACTCGGCGCCCTCAGGTGTTGAATGCGGTATGTCTTGACTTATGGTTAATCCTACCATTGCGCTAACACTGTAGTAGGCAGTTCCATCAAGAAGACGGGTTATTCCGCCTATTAGATCGCCACGGATGCGTGCCGACCTGTTGGCAGCAGCGCAGGAAGCCCAGGCATCTGCGGCTGAGAATGTCGCAATGGAGGCACCGGTTACCGAAACCACGGCCGTTCAGGTTCAGACAGGCCCCGGCGTGGCATCAAGCACGTCTGGACAGAACGAAGCATCGGGGTCCCCATCTGTCAGCGAGCCTTCAGATCCGGACCCGGCTTCTCAGCAAGTCCAAATCTGGACTGGCAGCCTGTCTCAGGGTGTGAGGCAGGTCACGATGCTGGTCACCAAATCCAAGCCCGGCAGGACCGACGTCAGCGCGGACCAGCTCAAGCTCTATCAGGAGTCGGCGAGAGCCTTCTTCTGGTGGCTGGAGTTCGATGCCGTGGTCAGGCCGTCGTTCAGGGATGTCCATCACCTCGACCAGGTCATGAACTTAGTCCGCAACTCGACAAACCTAGGCATTCCTGCTGACATCAAAGAGGCGGCAAATGCGGTTCGTTTGAGGTTTGAGGAAGACAACTGGGGCCAAGGCGACGAGGGCTATGCTAGTGACGTTAGCACCGACGTGGACGCGGGTCAGCCTCGTATTGTCTCACCCCGCTCTCCGGGGCGAGCGTCAAGCGGCGGAAACAGGGCAGCCGGTGTCAGTGTCATCCCTCAGCCTTCCGTCAATCACCCAATCTACGGTAAAGGCGGAATCATGCACGGCGTGGTTTGCTACCGAAGCCCCAAAAAAGGTCTGACGTACAAGCTGAACCCGGCCTACAAGCACGAAAAGGTCAATGCCGCGTTCATTGGAGAGGGCTATTTGATCCCTGGTGATTGGTGGCCTTTCCAGCTGGTAGCGCTTTTCCACGGGGCGCATGGAAGAAGCCAGGGGGGGATCTTCGGCTCGGCGTCGATGGGAGTCTATTCGATCGTCATATCCGGCCGCAACAACAAGTATCATGAGATTGACAAGGATGATGGTGAGATTTTGTATTACTCCACGGACAACATGGGGGTAGCCACCACATCGGTCGGTACCCAGGCTCTCAACAAGTCGATTGACATCAGACAGCCTGTGAGAGTCCTCCGTGGCCAAAGTCAGACCGGCGGAGGCTGGGCTCCTGAATGTGGGATTCGCTACGATGGACTGTACCGAGTTATTGGGAAGAAATTGGTGCCGACAAGGAATGGCGAAGAGTGGTTCCGGTATACGTTGCGCCGTGAAGCAGGCCAGCGGGATCTTCGCGAGATTGTGGGAAGCTCACCAACTCTGCAGCAGAGGAACGACTACCTGAGGATTCGAGACGCCTACCCTGGCGTAGCCCGAGGAGTATGTGGATAAGTAGAAGTGTTGTTTAAAAGTGTGTTGGTATTTTGGAGTGATGAATGGGTGGCGAGCTTGAGGCAAAACGAAACAACTGATGATGGAAACAGACTCGACATGCAAGGCTTGCAGGAAAAGCAATGAGTACCCAGTTGGAACTGCAATGATTTTAGCTTTGCCTGTTATATACCTAGCTACTTACTAGTAGCCTGCGCTGAGTAATAAAGATGCGTTGGTTTATATATTTACTATCTCTTTTCTAGCGTGTATAAAAGCCCTAAGTGATATGTTGGGCGGGTCTACCCCTGACCCCCTGAGCCCTTGAAGCTTTAAGGTCCCTAGGAAAATTGTCTGACACAGATGATGACTTTCAGAGGCCTTGTCCTATATTTAGGATTATTTTAAGAGTAGACTGGATTTAGGCTGCTCTGTAGTACTTGTGTCTAAGTTTGATAACTTGTCTTTCGCCAGAGTATGTGTGGCATAATAAAATGTTTTGTATGCAGTAAGAACAGTGTCTCATTTCCAGAATTGAGGTTCCGGCTGCCTTGAAGCCCCCTGAGGGCAGCCTTCACGTGATTCCTATGGGACTAACATTGGTCTTCCTCAGGCGCACCTTCCCACACTGCCGGTAACGTTTGAATCTGTCCCAACTCGTGAAAAACCGTCCGAACTCTCTGCATGGTCGTCCCAACTTGTGTCACCCTTGGTATTGGGATACAATAATGACATTGTCCAGAAAAATATCAAAGTATGGAAGAAGTATGCACAGAAATGAAAACTGCCTGCGCGAGCTTGGGCCATAGTCGTCAGTCTTCTACAAGCCTTGGGGCAGAGCAAATGGGGCAGGGACACCTTCAAATGGCCCAAGAGTGGGCTTGCTTAGAAAGACCCTCAGTGTGGGAAAGATACCTAATCCCTGGGCCGATCTGCAATTCTATTGGCTAGGTAGGTCATTTACATAAACAGCATGGCCAAGCGAGGGGATACGTCCAGCTTCAATTCAGTTTCATTGCTCTGAATTGCTATTGCCGTAGTGTACCATCTCCTACCACCTGCAACATGGCACCTACGATACGCTCCAGACTTCGGAATAGTCTATTTCGACGGCAGCCGACAGTCATTTTAGCCCGCACATCTCGTGCGGCTGATCCTCATTTGCCATCATTCTCTCGGTTGGCCGATGAGCTTGTCTTACACATCATCGAGATTGTCCATGACAGCAGTCCACAGGATTTATTCAATGTTGCGCTGGTCTGCTCTGATCTCTATGTCAAGGCTCGATGCCTCCAACACCGCCTCCTCGCTCTTGACTTCCCCAGGCACACCAAGATTACGCTGACAAGTCTCATCTTCGAGATTTGGAGCGAGGACAGCTCACCTGGCCGTGTGGTGGCTCACCGTCTACAATGCATGCAACGCATCGACCTCTTGTCTGCCATTCGCACACTCGACTTCTCCATCCCCAGTGTTGGGGGAGAACCTCTCTCAGCGCAACCAATAGCCCAGCCAACAAAACACGACAGTGGAAGTTCCTCCGAAAGCCCAAGACACCAAGCCAGGACCCAGGAATGGATCATATGGTGAAAAGGTACCCGATCTGGCCCCTCGCCTTCGGCCAGTACCATCCCAATCCATCATGCCTATCGTCAACCCCTCTCATCAACTCGATGCCAGACCTGCGCGACATCCACTGGCATTGCCGGCACGTCCACAGCGCCCTCCCCCTCCCAGATACTTTGTCCTCCCTCAAAACCAATTCCAAAAGCCCCCCCATCAACCTTCACCTCTCCATCACCACCAGAGACGACCGACGTCCCAACCCACGCCTCCTCCAGCTCCTCTCCCAGCTCTTGACCTACCCGCTCACCCCGAACCTGACCTCACTTAAAATCAACATAACCTACTACACCCAAAACTACACCCGCCAAATCCTTCACCCCCTAAAAGCCATCCTCTGTTACGCTCCTAATCTACAAAAGCTTTCTCTCGACATCTGGTACCACCGCGGCGCCAGCGGCCAGGGCACTCTAGACGAGAAATACTTTGGCTTCGGCTTCACATCAGCCGAAAAACTTGCCACCAAAAGGCTAAAGCATCTTACAATCCACGCCTACCCATTTGGCCGCCCTGCCGTGGCAGGCGAATCAAATTGGAACACCGAGGGCTATCCACCAAATACATCCCCGGAGGTCGACTACTGGGCCAGAGAATTTTACTGGGGAGCACCGGAGACGCTCCAGCTGTTGGACGTGGGGTGGATGGGGACAGACAAGATATTGGCCAGCGTGGAACTAGCGGGCAAGCTGGGGACCTTGAGAGAGCTGAAGCTGGATGGGCTGTACGGACCTGGGATGAGGCCCTTGCAAGTGGAGGGCTCGGCTAACAGAGACTATGTTGAAGGGATCTGGGGTTTCTTGCGGTACTTGCCACAGGGAAGACTGGAGCACATCAGTTTGCCGTTTGTAGGGGGAGATGTTATTCCAGTGGAGGCAGTTACGTGGTTTGGAAACACATTGACGAGACTGGATATCACACGTTCTGCAGTGACAGAAGATGATCTCTGGGTTTTGGGGAGGAACCTGCCGCGGTTGCGGGAGCTGAGGATTTGGTGTGAGAGGCAACACGGCCAGTCGGATCATGGCGATGGCGGTGAGGGCAGATGGCCGGAAACAACGTTTGGTGTGCTGGCTGATGCAGGCAACTTTCCGTCTTTGCGAGATTTGCACCTCACCTTTGAACTTGGGTTCAAAGAGAAGCAGATACAGCCGCCGTTGACCGAGAGGATACATGGTGGTCGTCGCAGTGGTCATAAAAGCCCTTCTCTGCAGCGGGTATATTTGTCCGCCGGAGAACTTCCAAAGAGGAGGAATGACCCAAGCCGCTTTCGAGGCTTCCTGGATGCCGAAGAAAGAGCAAAGGCCTCTGCTAAGAACGCAATGAGCTTTGTATGCTCCCCACATCTTGATACCGGAGGAGTGAAAATCAAATGTCCTAAATTGGTCAATGCTGGGTTGTCTGAGGAGAAATTACAAAGAGCGTGGGCACTTGTGATGAAATATCAAGTCGGGGATCATGGAAACCGAAAGATTCAAGAATTAGAAGACAAGGCAGTGGCAATCTTGGAAATAGAGGGCGAAAAGGCGGCCATGGGAGATAAATATTGGGCCCTTGTAGCCGCACTCAAGTGTCCCCGATGGGGTGATAACGAGGGCAATTATACGACATGACAGGTCCTTCAGAGGCGCGCCCGGACATTGCTCGCCTTCCTGATATCGTAGCCCAGTTCTTCTGCAATGCCTAGGCCGGCCGTCCTTCCAGAAAAGATGCACCCGCCCAAAAAGGTCCCCTCCAGACTGTTGTAGCCGTGCACGCCTCCACCTCCAAATCCGGCGACCTCTCCTGCAGCATACAAACCCTTGAAGACGCTGCCATCAGCCTTCATCACCTGGCTCTTCAAGTTTGTTTCAATACCGCCCAGTGTCTTTCTTGTCAACAGGTTCATACGGACTGCGATGAGAGGCCCGCTCTTCTTCTTGTCCAACAGCTTGTGCGGTGGCGCAATGCGGCTGCGCTTATCGGGCCAGTAGGTTCTCGCCGAGTTGATGAGCATGGTCTGGGCATCCTTGGAGAAGGGGTTGTCGAACTGGCTGTCTCGGGTCTCGACCACGTCCTTGATCTTCTGGTAGTCGAGGGGCACGCCTCCCGGGATCTTGGCCACCAGCTGGTTCATTCCCTCCACCAAGTCCTCCAGATTGTCCTTGACTACAAAGTCGACACCATGCTTGACGAAGTTTTGCACGGGAACGGTGCCCTTCTTGGAAAGAACGCGCTGTGTCAAGACACCCCAGACAGACTTTCCAGTGACATCTGGGTTTTGTTCCGACCCTGACAGGGCAAACTCGCGCGCAACGATAGCCTGGTCGGTAATAAACCAAGTATAGTCGTGACCGGTGGAGCAAATATACTTGAGCGTGCCGAGGGTGTCACAGCCAGGGAAGAGGTGGTTGGGCAGCCGCTTGCCGTTGGCATCGAGCCACAGAGACGATGGTGCAGGCAGCACACGAATCCCGTGGCCAGGCCAAATGGGGTTCCAGTTTGCCAACCCTTCTGTGTAATGCCACATGCGATCCCGGTTGATGATGTTCGCGCCGGCACTTTCTGTAATGTCGATCATCCTCCCGTCAACATGATGCGGCACCCCAATGACAAAGTTTTGGGGGACCTTGGGGCCCAGTCTGTCGACGGGCCACGCGGCTTTCACCTTGTCAACATTTCCACCGATGCCCCCCGATGTGACGAGGACGGCAGCTCCGTGAATCTCAAATTGGTCGACTACGGTTCTTGACGACTTGACACCTCGAGGAGAGTTGTCCTCTTCGAGTATGCTTCCCTTCACACCCACTGCTCTCCCTGTAAGCTCATCCAAAATAATCTCGTCGACACGGTGTCGGTGTCTGAACTCGACGGTCCCCTTCTTGGCGGCCTTCTTCACTGGCTCGGCAAAGACCCTAACAACCTCAGGGCCAGTCCCCCAAGTCAAATGGAATCTGGGCACCGTGTTTCCATGACCATCTGCTCGTCCATCACCTCTTTCAGCCCAGCCAACGTTCACCAAGAACCCCAGTCCTCGAGCTTTGACGTAGTCCTCCATTTCATCAGTAGCGAAATTGACGAATGCCTCCGCCCACTTTCGTGGCCAGTAATCCTCCTTCTCGCGGTCAAACTGGGCCGAGTTGAACCAGTCCTTCATTGCCAGCTCTCTGGAATCCTTGATGCCCATTCTTCGTTGGTAGGAAGAGTCGACGCAGAAGATGCCTCCCAAAGACCAAAACGCTTGGCCGCCAACATTGTTTGCGTTTTCTTGATCGAGGAGAAGGACGGGAATGCGAAGACGGGAGAGCTCAAAGGCAGCGACGAGACCGGCGAGGCCTGCGCCGACAATGATGACGGGCTTTTGGGCCTTGCCCGCGGACGGGTGTCGTTTGGGCATTGTCGTTGGAGAGGGGTGGTTGACGGGATGAAGTTATCGAGCAATTGTCGAAGAGGAGATACTCGGATCGCTCGGAATGGGTGTATCGGGGCAAAGCAGGTGCTTTGAGGCGGTGTCAGCTCGGTTCGTTCGGTTGGATTCGGCACCGACGCTGGAATTTGGCCTGAATTTTGTAGTGTAAGCACTGGCAATGGCGACTGAGAAGAATAACAAAGGACAAGACCAAACATATGCTCAGGAAGGGCCGAGCAGGATTAAGACTGGTAGCCCCATGGCGGCGTCACGCGCGGTGCAACGCCAAGATTCAAGCCAGCCTCGGTTCGTTTGACTGATGGCAACGGATGGGCGTGGTGCGATTCAAGGTCCAACATCCCCCGCGTTGCGACGGTTGACGATTGCCAGCGCTGCTTGCTCTCAGTCGGGTGACATGGACCAGGGTTAGGGTCATACCCCAGTTCTGCCCCTTGCTATACCCCGCTTCCCCGCATTCCGCCTGGAGCTGCCAAGTCAGTCAGTCTCTCGGAGAGTCCACTCTGGATATTCTTACTCCAACGACTGTTCATCTTTTTTTTGATTGGAAGTGCTTTCATTGCCTGGGATCGCCGACATGTCTTCACGCTTATAACAGCAAAAGGTCTCTACGATAACTTTCTCTCTGGTGATGAGCAAGGATTGGTGAGTCTACGCTCCGCTCCTGCAAGACATCACTGACCGAGATGCAAGCAGACCGTCACCGTTGTATCCAACTTTACACCTCCGCCAAGAACTCATGATGCAACTCCCCATTGCAACCCACACGACTGGAAAGACGGACACTTGCAGTTAACGTCTTTGGCCACTGCGATATCTTGCAAAAACACCATAGTGCTCACGAGCAGCCACAACTATCCATGTCTCTCAATCGCAAGGCTGGCGATGGGAACCATACCTACCCACTGCCACTACCACTGCACCACAACAAGATGGCATAACCCGAACACGCCTCGATGATAACTCCTCGGGGTAATCCACAGATCCAAGAACTACTCCTCCTTCTCGCCCGCCAGGGTCCATGTGAAGGGAAATGCCGGTCGCTGTGGTCTAGGCCAGTAACCCCCCTGAATGGCTGTGCCGCGGCAACATATTAAGCTCACTTCTGGGTGCAACCGTCGTGGCCACTCATAATCGAGACGGATGTTGATCGTTACAGCTTGTCTACAGAACCGCGGCCAATCATGGGGCAAGACTGCTTGGTGAAAGAACCAGCTGAAGACCCCCCGCCGTTGCGGTGCGGCATTGAACCCCGATGACACCCTTTTACCGGCAAGTATAGTACGTGCATTATCTGAGAACAGGGTGAGATGCTTATTTTCTGCCTGTCGCTCTTCTAGATGACCCGCAAGGAGATCTCTTTTCCTTTTCGAGAAGCCCGAAGCCTTGTCTGGAAGGCTCGTTATATAGCACTGACCCCATCACTCATGGCAAACCCGATCGTCGTCACCCTCGTGGTCCTCCCTGGCTAACTGATTTGTCTGTCTACCTCGAATTGATTTGTTCACTCTATCACCATGGTAGATGTCGATATTCACGAAAAGCCAAAGGAAAAGAGATCCATCCGCACATGGACCCCCTGGCTCGAAATCGTGGCGCTCTCAGCCATTCTTATTTGTATTATCTGCTCAGCCGTCGTTGTCACCGTCTCTCACGATCAAGAAGTCTCAACCTGGCGCATCAGCCCGGCTGTGTGGCTCGCCATCTTTTCGGCCATCTCTAATGTGGCTTTCAGCTCTGCTCTGGCCGCAGGCATTGCCGTACGTTTCTGGCTCCGTGCTTCGGGCGGCACTCAACTCTCCCAGCTTCATTACATCTGGGATCATGGCCGCGGTCTCGGCTTCTGGCCCGCCATCAAGTCCGGCTCCGAAGCTCGCAAAGTAACCCTCATCTGTACCATCGCATACCTCGTTCAGTTTGCTTCGGGCCCTCTGTTTCAGCGATCAACCCATACCTTGGCTCAGAACCGGGTTGTCCAGCAGAACATGTTCTTTGACATTGCCAACAGAATACCTGATGGATGGTCGGGAAACTGGCAGTCAGACAGGACAGTCATTCACAACAGGAGGGTCATGTCGCAAACCCAAGCCTGGTACCGCAATGACTCCATCACTGTACCATCTACGGAAGGATATGTATGCGATGGCACTTGCTCCGGGTCGGTCCGCGGTGCGGGGTTTGTGTACACGTGTGCCCCTACCACTTACCAGCCCCTGGACTTGTCAACAAACGCCTCACACAAAGCCACCGTCTTCCACATCCGAGCCGAGCTAGTTGCTGACGAACGGTCCGAACCATTACTCACTCTCTTGACTAAACACATTGACAAGCTCGAGGGCAACTGCCAAGCCACTGTCAAAATCGATCGCTGCAACATTACCGCCGCCGTGGTGGAACATCCCGTCATCATCCAAAATTCCACCGCGTGGTTTGATCACTCTGCTCTCAAGTTCAATCAATCACTGCCCATCATTTCACCATACATTTCCGCCGGTGACTCCCTCACCACGCCGATCAACTCGGGAGTCGGTCCGCTCGCCGGCCTGCAAGCCTTTGTCTCTGGGCACATGTACGATAATGCGACCACAACCTTCAATCCGACCCTCAAGAAATGGCTCTTTGCTGGACCGGGGCCGGGAACATTGGCCGACGTCTTCTTCAGGGCTGAGCCTTGGGATTTTGGGAACCACAGTCTCATCAGCTGTGGGCTGAGCTGGGACAGCCCGACAGAATATGTGCTTGCAAATCTGCACGAGTGGCAGTTTCGTGTGGCCGAGCGAGTGGGCAGGGGTACCGAGAGGCAGAGCTTTGAAGTCACCAAAACGGTTCCGGTCTTGGTGTTTTGGAGCGAGAAGCAGTATCTGGGCCCAGCGTTGGCGGTTGCAATACTGGGGTTGCTCTTTGTGGCGAGTCTCAGTTGGGGTTGGTGGAGGCTTGAGAAGCCGGTTACGCTCAGCCCTTTGGAGACGGGCAAGGTGTTCGGTGGTGGCATCTTCAGGGGTGTCAGGGGCGATGCCACTGTCAGCGAGATTTTGAGAGAGGTCAGGGATATTGAGGTAAGAGTTGACACCGAGAGTGGGGTTGGTGCAGACGATCGGATCACACGGGTAGAGGTCGAGATGCAAAGACCCAACAAGGTATACACCACGGGGTCTGGCTCCGGAATCTATTTGTCCGAAGGGATCGAAAGGGGTGAAGGATCTCAAGGCGGGTCAGTTGCAGGTAGCACACGAGTGCAGAGTCACTTGGGGCAGGCCTAATGGACGGTTTGCAACAGTTTGTTTCTCTGGAGCTGAACCTGGATACCTTAGCTGTTCGCGTCGAGTTCTTGCACTACCCATGACTTCAATAGCCACGACTCAGCATCCGAGATATATACGTTCTCGCGATAGACACTATTAGGCACTATGTAAAGACTGTTCCTTCAGACACTCTCTCGCACGCGTTTCCACACCCTCCATATCAGATTTCAGTTCGTTCACATGCCAGGAAGCTTGTCAAGCCCTGTTACTCTTGTTAGTCTGAACTTTCTCTACAGAGCAAGCAATCAAGAGGGGAAAACTTACAGCCATCGATATTCTCCTTCACGGTCGTGGTCTGCAGCTTGCAGTTATTGGCCTGCGCCACGCTCTGCGACTTGATCCCGTTGCTCAACAGCGGCGTCGAGTCCATGGCTCTCTGCAGAGAATCGCCCTTCCAACCAAACAGATAATCGGCATGGGTCCCGTATCCCTTGCTATCGCCATAACTCCAGACAAAAGGCTGAGAGCCATCTGTAGGCCAGAGGTCCTTGTTGTTGAAGGGGGTGGTGTCCCACATTGTCTCCAACGCCACCTGCGGCATCCGGACGGGATGGCTGGAGGGGCATGGGCCGGCGTTGGTGAAGGCACCCTTACCGGTGTTGTACATGTGGTCTTGGTGGTTAGGGCTGTCGAGATTCTTGCCGTCCCAGCAGGCGGGGAAGTGGTGAATGGCCATGATGCCGGCTGGGCAGGGCTCCTTGGGGAAATCGGCCGTTTCGGGGAAGCGGGTCATGACGTCCTTGAGGCAGGTGTAGCGGAGGCCGGGGTTGTTGCCGTTGGTGGCGGTGGGCGAGCCGACGGTCATGCGGAAGCCGGGCTTGAAGGCGGTGATCTTTTGCTTACCGTTGGAGTTGAAGTCTTGCTGGAGGTAGTAGACTGTCATGCCCCCTGTCAAGGAGCCGAGTAGGGCGTTGGGGTATTGTCCCACGCGCTTGTAGGAGCCGTTGCGGGCTTTGAAGTACATGACGGCGGTCCAGTAGTTGGTAAAGTCCTCGCTTGTAAATTGGGTTAGCCTGGTGTGAAGATGACGACATTCGATGAGAGGTAAGGATACCCACCTGAAGGAACAAGTGGTGCAAGTGGCCTTCTCGGCGATGTCAACCTTGGGGTCCATGGTTGCGTTAAAGGCGTTCCCGCCAATGATTTGGTGGACATGAGACGAGGGGACCTTTCCAGGCTCGACGATGGGATCAAGGCGCTGAACCGTCAAGGTTGCGCACCCGAAACGGAGGTACGCTTGGGCCGGGGCAGCAAACCCAAGTGCGGCGAGGGAGTTCCACTTCATGATGTTCTTTGTGATGACGATGATCCACGATGATCGTGGGAACAAGACAAGGCTACAAAACAGGTCGAGTCCAGGTCTAAATACCTGACGGGTCTTTTTATTCTGCTATTCTTGTCATTCAACCTTCGGTCAGAGCGGCAGCCGGCCTACAGGATGCATTCCCAGCGTGGTTGCCGCCACCGCGTTGATAGCTCCCCTTTATCCAGACATCATCCACGTCGGCATGACCTGCTTGGGCCTTCGTCCCAGCTCTATATCCCCGCATTCTTGAGTGTTTCCTTCGTCCAATAACCATACTTCTCCCTCCCCTCAATCAAATGTTTCTACCTCTCAAAGATCTTTTACTGGCTGTTGAACAATCACTAGGTAAACAGAGGACACATCCATTCTGCCACATGCGGCAACTTTGATACCGATTGGTTGCCGCCAGGATGTCATACAAGGCCTGATCAAACTGTAAGTAGGAAGACAATCTCTAGCAAGTACTCGGGTTGGTGGCCTTTCATTTAAGCTTCGTCTAAATCCCTGTGCACTACTCGGCTCTCCTTCCGAACCCGAGGACAGACCAGGAAACAACAGGCTGTCACGGCAGTTAAGCAATTGGATGGGCTTGTGTGCTGCATATCAAGCTCTCTCGCTTCTTGCTCGGCAAACCTCGTTGACACCGGCAGATTGCTCTAGATTGAGTGGGGCATTCGGATGTGAGTTCCGCTGTCGGTAGAGGCAAGGGGAATGCCGGAGGTAGGTTGTTGAAAGGGGGGTGAGGGATCAACATTTACTGGGCAGGAAGATAGCTAGCTATAAGCAAGTGGGCAAGAGTTCAGTTTTCGAACAAGTTTCTATCCATAGATTGGGAAGCTGGCTGCCCGAGCCTTCCTCCAGTGATAAGCGCATTTAACCGAGGTACTGTTCTTGAGTGATTCAAACAGTTGCGGGTACGCTGTACTCGACCCTACCTACCTACCTTGCGTATCTAACTTATTGAGGCTCCGCTGTTTCGAGTGCTGAGAAAACAGGGGGTTAAATACCTGGTACCCCCGAGTTTCAGTAGGTATGTATATTTCCATCTCTATTCATTTACAAATTGAAAGTAGCTGTGTAAGCCCTATCGACAGATCTCCCTCACTCAAACGCCAATAAAGCCATGATCCCCTTACCCCCGCCCGTAAAGTCAAGTTGGCTGCTTGTTATATGTATCGTTATTCATTGCTGAACATCTCTGTGTTGTTTACTCTGACCTCTTCGGGCGTGAGCCCTTCCAAGTGTTGTCTTTTCTGCGTCCATTTTCCTCCATACTCTTGCTGTTCCATTTTGCTGACGCTATCGAGTGTCGTTTTGGTACCTAGGCAGTAAACCTGTTGACATCATCCCGGTGTCTATTTAAGCCCTGATCTCACCCGCTCGTGATCTCATTCGGGATTTGTGCATTCTGGTACCGAATCGGACTTGACGGTGAAGCTGTGAGACGCTAGGCATCTTGCGACGGGCGATATTCCGGCGCAGAAGCCTCGCCTTCCTCGAGCGTGTAGATGATCCACCGTTTTCCAAGCTGTGTAGACGGGATGGCAAGAGTCAAGGCTGTTGATGTCAGAGCTGGCACTATGATCTTTGGTGATGGCCTAGTAAAAGTAAACTTGGATGACATGGACCTGGGTACCTTTGGCTCCTTTGGCTTTAACTCCTTCATGGTCAACTGTGGCTGTGAATGGGTGGATGGAATTGATTTTCGAGGTAGCAATGAGGGTGACTCTGGAGCATCTTGCTCATCATCGTCGTCTTCGTCCTCCTCGGCCGCAGTTGAGGCTTCGCCTGTCGGTATTGCAGAAGAGGATTCAGACCCCAGGTTTGATTTCTTGCCACTGCACGCCTTGACGTATCGATGTCTCTGAAGCAATGGCAAGTTTTCTTTAGTCAGTTTCGTTAATAGGTACAAGACAGCCAAAAGACATACCTTGAGGGCATCTTTGCGTGAAAAGCACTTGTCGCAGTGAGGACAAGGAAACGGTTTTGTGGCTGAGTGTATCCTTCTGTGTCGTTTGAGATCGTGGTTTCGGCTGAAACACTGAGTGCAAATATCACATTTGAATGGTCGATCTTGCTGAGAGGACTCTCTTGACACCGGATAGACACTCCCTCCTACCCGCACGTTGAACTCATGATACGGCCCACCTGAACTGCCTATTGATGGGAGTGACGGAGGCGGTTGACCAAATCCTTGGGGCATATACCCTTGATGCTGATGAGCTACCATTCCGGCGGGCGGAGCTAGAGGCCCACTATGCGCAGGATAATGGCTTGGATGTAGTGAGGGGGGATACTGGGAAGCGGGCGGAAGAAGACTGGTGATGGGAGGAAGCTGACCTCCGAATCGGGATGGAGAGGATGATTGTGGCGGAGATCCGGGCAATGGCTTCCGTGCGTAATACTGTTCCTGGGATCCCGAGTCTTGGTGTTGTGAAGACAGCTTTGAATTCCACGCCGGTTGGAACCCGGGGCTGCTGGTAGCGGATAAAGAGTAGGCAGAGCTGGGGGAGTGTAGGTCGCTTGCCTGGGGGCTTCTATCGTCGGCCCCAGAAAGCGGAAAGCCGGATGACGGCGGGAGCGAGAAAGGGGGCAGTCCATCGCGGTACTGTTGTCTTCTATCATGAGATCTCGGTGATGATTGTTCCGCCATTTCTTCAGCAATTCCCTACATAACACAGGAAAGTGAGATGTTCTGGGAAAGACAGGGAGTGTCCAGTGTGACCGGGCCCGTTAGTCCTGGTCCGCATCTCAGCTGAACAGACCCCCGTCCCTTGAACAGGTGTGGCTGCGCCGTAATAGGCATCGCGCAAAACGCGCTTCCTTGGCGACAGCCTCTCAGAAGCTAGCACCGGTCATTTATTGCATGCCGAGCCCTGGTATTTCTTCTTTTTTACCTCATCCCGCACGGGAAGCCTAAGTCAGATGTGGTGCGACATTGTTGGACCCGTGGAAGCCACTGACAGAAGACTGAACACCGCAGACCATGGCGCGGAGTTCCAGTGGTACCCTTGGCAGAACGCCTCTTTTCTAAATCAGCATCATATACCTGACGTCTTGTTGAGATCCCCCCCTTGGCAGTCAGTCGTCTCTCATGCTTTCTGTGAGATGTCAGTATCTGAGCTACCGATTCGGTCTCTGCCACGCCACCAAGGGGTCCCTTCCGATGGCTGGTACGTCGCTCACCTATCGAAGCTAAGAAGCACCCGGTGATGTACATGCATGGCGTGACGCCACCGAGCCACGAAGACACCGAGTTAACTGAAAGACGGACGAAAAACTCCAGGAAGTGTCTTTCACGGCGCGGCGCCGGCCAGAACAATCCAGATGTTTCAAGTGCTGCGCCTCAGGTAGACTTTGGGGACCAATTATTGTGGATAGACCGGTGTTAGACGCGCGCCGTGTGGTCACACAAGCTGTCTGGGCGCTGAACATACATGTAAGCTATTTAGGTAAGGTGCGGAACGACACCGCCTGACATTGGGACCTCGCATACTGGCAAAAGAGGAAGAAGATCATCATTATGAGGCTCTGCCGACCTCTTTGGTCACGAGCAGCCAACTCGGGTTACTTTTGAAAGGATTGCAACATTCCGCTTCATCCAATAACAAACGTTGGCGGGTTGGGCAATGTTCTTGCACACGGCTAGAGCAATCCAGGGGTTCAGGGGGCCGGAATTGCATCAGACTTCCCACCATTGCTTCATGTTTTATAAAGCTAGCCGCCGTCGCTGCAGTCAACAAATCGGAGACCATATCGATTTAATCGGGTATGGTGTAGCGGTAACATCGTTGACTCTCACTTCTCAGAAGTGTCTGTTCTCTCAACAGCCCCGGGTTCGACTCCCGGTATCCGAGTCTCTTTTTTCCCACACTTTCTCACTTGCACAGACACATCATCTTGATACACGTGCGGTTTTGTTTTTTTTTGGAAGACTACCTCGCTATTTTTATGCTTTCTTGCTCAATCAAACCTATAACGCCCCCTCCCACAACTCCATTATTCAAACCCATCGACGCCATTGTATGTGGCGAAATTATGGCAGGCTCAGGAACAGCTTCAATAATTTGGGATAGATGGGCGTACTGTTACATGTTACTGTTAGCAGAGCTCTGACGAAAACCAAGACTGTTTATTGAAGGTTACCCAAGTCCAGTGACTGGATCCCAACCCTCTTTCACCGGGAAGCCGTTGCTCCCACATCCTGGGTTTGATCCAGAAGTGATGTCAGTGAACACTTCGGGATGATCATACTGCCTCGCAGTTAGCATTATCTCTTCATCGCCCCCTTCGAGATACTGACCAAAACTTGGTGGATAAACCCGACTGGCCGCTTGCCTCGGACTAATCTCTCCTCGTTGATCAGAGTAAGGATAGAAGCCCAAACCGGTACCGCCACCGAGGTACCACTCATGCTATCAGCATATCCTCTGAGAACAACCCTGTAATTGTCTCCAATGGCCGAAACATCAGGATAACCTCTGCCGCCTTTGTTGAACCTCTTGCCCCTCTCTTTTCCCAGCACACTGCCCAGCAAACTTGGCTCCCATCCCCACTGCGTGGAGGCTGCTGTAGCCGTTAGGTTGTATCCCAGCTCTGTGACGTTGGCCCGCTTCAAATACGCAGCCACGTGCTTCTCCTGCCATGGCGGCCTCATGAAGACATTTGAAAATCCCCCTCCAGAAGCAAATCTCTCTGTGGCTGTCTCGATGAACTTGCCCTTATTCTTGGGGTCGGCCTTGACCAGTGTAGCACCCACGCTCAAAACATAGGGACAGTTTCCCATGATTCTTGGAGAGAACACCTCTCTATTCGGGCCTAAACAGCCAGCCTGAGGGTCCCCCCTCCTTCCACCGACGCCATAGTCGCCAGAGGACTCTACCACAGTGACCCCCTGCAGTGAAAGCTTCAATATCTCCATGCACTGCCTGCGGGTGTAGGACTCTGGCCAGGCGTGCTCGAAGCCCGAATAGGAGATAGATATGACGTTTGTTGGGCGGTAAGTGCCGCACATCAAGTCGCCTTGGTAACCGTATCTGTCGTTGTTCGGGTTCGGGTACTCGGGATCGCGGCAGGAGTCGTCAGCACAATTTCCTGTCTGATTGAAGGCGGCCATAGTGCAAAAGGAGCCATCGATGGCGTCAAAGAAGGCTTTTGTCTCGTCAGTATTTTGATCAACGCACGTTAGCAATGAAGCCACTTACTATTGAAGAAGCCAGGGTATCTTGTATCAGCACGAGTCTGGTCTTGCTGGTACCATTCGTCGTCTGTTTGGAACAGAACAGTCTTTTGAGGCCATACCAACGGAATAGCCACTTGGAAATCAAGATTGGCCTCTTCTCCTGCTAGCTGGGGATCCTCAATCGGGCCCTCGGCGCCGTTGATCGACTTGAGTTCGGGATGAGTTCCTTTCGGGATCCATGGAGCGACATATTTCCAATAGGTATCCATGTCTTGTTGATTGTAGTGTTGAGCGAGACCTTGAAAGATACCCAACTCGTTGCCTTTAGTCGCTTTCGTTCCAGCTGGGATTTGATACTGGTCTATCACCCATTAGCTGCTTACATCTCTCAGTCAAACATTTTGAACCTACTTCGGATACATTGAGGCGTGATGTCCACATCACAGCCCTCTGTTACCTCGAACTCATCTTCATTCTGGTCCGGCTGGATATTTCCGGCTGGTTTGGTGGCAGTAGGAGTAGACACGCTGGTGGTGCTTGTCGCCCCTGATCCTCCCTGTCCCTTTCCCTTGCCTCTGTCTTTGTCTTTATCCTTATCTTTGCCCCCCTTCTTTCGTCCTTTGCGGTCACCCGGGCGTCTTCCCTTCTCGTACCAACTATCGTACCAGACCGACCCTCTCCGTCCCACCATCCTCTTGACAATCTTCTCATCATATCCACCAGCCATCAATTTGATGCCGGGAGTTATGTAATCAATGTGATGCGAAATGTTGTGAGGAACATGATATCTGTGAAGCATTTCGTCAGCAAGATGATCTGACATGGAAGGACTGCGTTGGAAAACAAGCGCTCACTCTGAACAGGCAATGTTTGTTACCCCAGATTCAGGGTGTTCATAAACATGAAACCGAGCAAAAAGCAGTTTCTCGACCTCCTGAACCGGCGCGTCGAACTGAATCCACTATTTCGCACCCGTCAGTACGTTAATGCCCTCAACTTCCCAATCACTCGACCTGTGTAAACTCACCTGCTTGTTCCCGGACAATCCTAGCCTTCTTTCTTCCACGCCCGAGGCCTTCAGCCACTGCTTGACCTCGCCCACCGCCTGTGTTCCCGGCGCAAAGAAGTCGACCACCTCTCGAGCAGTCAAGTGCTTCCCGTAGTTCGGCGATTTCGGATCCGATCTACTCCGTTTTCACGTCAGCCTTTTCCCCAAATAAAAGAAAGAAAAACAGAAAAGTCACACACATGTCCATTAGCAACTTGTGCGCCCGCTCCTCCTTTTCCCGCCCCTGTTTCAAGCCAATTCTCACAGGCAACGTCACCCCATCCTTGACCAGATCCCTCTTCACCCAGCCCTGGAGTTGCCCGTCATGCTGCCGTTCGTGAAGATCATGCGACCTCGGCACGATCAGAGGCTTCCCTGACCTCGCTGTCGTTGGGCCGCCCTCCACCAAAAAGGCCAGCCCCTGGACACTGGCGACAGTAAGAAGAACTGATCGAAGAAGCATGCTGAATGGGCTTTTCCGCCGGAGTGTCGAGGAATCAACGGAAAAAAAGAACACGGGCAACAAAGGGAATAAGGAAAGCAACAGAATCGACGGAGGGAAGGGGAGACCCAGAGCGCGTCGACTGGCCGAGGTAGCTTGACGGCACCGTTGATGACCGACGGGAGCTCATACTTATATTGATTCCCTAAATAGAACAGAGCCATCCTACAGTTTAATATCCCCGATGTGGGCCTGGCCGAGGCCCTTTCCCCAATTCCAGGTTGCCTTCCCCTTGGAAAGTCACCAGCAGTTACATCCGATCCCCAGTTCCAGAAATGTCGTTGCATACCTAATCGTCCTCCCATTGGAACGCAATGCACCTCTGCTGATATTGGACCTGACAAGGACAAGGCAATGCCACTGCGGAGGGCACGTGGCGAGTTACACAATCAATTTTCCCAGTTGCGTCCAGGTCCCTAAAGAAGCAATAACCTCACCAAGGTCTAGAAAAGCCACTACTATATAAAGACACTATTTTAAGCAATGCCTTTCGATTGTTTTTTATCCCCGAGGACGGGCAATCTATTCTGCCGGGTCTTGCATCGGCAGCCCGCTTAGGTTCTCTGCATCCGAACCACTCAGATTGCTCAATGCCCGCCCCTCCCCCCTTTTCTCCCCCTGAGCCTGGACTATGGCGTCCTACCTAACCACCTAGGCAGGACACCACCAGCTATCATGACAAACAAATAAATGGAAACGTGGCAATTGAAAGCCAAAGGTTCTTGTTCAATCAGAACATTTCCCTGCCGATAGAGATCAATCCGGCAAGAGTGTGGATCGCAAGTGGCAACACCGGATAAATGCCCCCAACGCAAGACATCATCATCTCTTTAACACCCGCCGGTACCAAACCTCACAAAATAAATTGCTCGGAGCCTCGGAGGCGTACCGAAAACTCGACAGAACCACGCTTCGGCTCGAGCGTTGAACCGCCACAAGTGCCACGTTGGTACCCGGACTTGTTGGCTGACCCAGCGTGACGATATCAACCTGAATCTATCGCACGCTACCTTGCCAAGACACTTTCCCGTTAGACAACTAGCGGTACCCGAACCCGATGATAAGTATCTCTGATGCTTCGGGTTTTTTTGGGCTCGTCCGTGTTGCAAGACACACGACTGCGAGACCTGAGGAAACGATAATGCCTTTTGATCAAATTTTTCTTCTTCATTCAGCTCCTGCCGAGATATGAATCCCAGCAGCAGACTCACGGCTAAGATTATCCTATCCCAAAGCGTGGCCTGATCATATTACCGCTCCTTTCTCTTCCCCTAATCCTCCGTCGCAATTCCATCTGGCCACCCATAGATAGTGATGACATTCGTTCCCATTAATGATGTCAAGGGGAAAAAAAGAAAAGGAAAAAGAACCCAAAAAAAAAAAAAAACAACCCCTTCAGAGCCAGCTCCCTCAAATATGCAGAGCATCAATATTCGCAGCAATGTACTGCTTGGCCCCCTCACGGAAATCATCCTTCAGATACCCGTTCCGGTTGTTGAAGAACTGAATGAGTCTTTTGTCCTTGGTGTTCCACGTTGGCCAGTTCTCCTTCACCTTGCTCTTGGCGCTCGTGCCGCCCGACGCGTCGTTGGGGTTGAGGTTGTAGACAAAGTTGGCATAAAAGTTCTGGATGCTCTTGCTCGCGTAGTTGGGCAGGATGCCATAAAAGACCTGCAGCAAGTCGCTGCCGTGGAAAGTGCCCAGGATGGGGGTGCCCTCGTTGTAGCTGGCCAGGTAGGACCAGACGGGGACGTTGGGGTTGGCGGCGATGGCGTACTCGATGAACACACGGCGGGTGAGCGTGAAGACGATGTCGCCGAGGAGAGCAGCCAGGCGCTTGAAGCCGGGGTAGATCTCGTTGAAGAGGCCGGAACCAAAGGGTGAGCCGGCTGAGATCAGGGGCGAGTACTGGCTGACCAGGCCCTTGACCTGTTGCGCGGTGGCGCCGTGGAAGAAGTATCCCCTGAGGTAGTCTTCGAGGCGGCTGGTGGTGGTGACATTCTTCTGGAAAAGCGAGAAGAGGGTGCCCTCGTCTTCTTGGTCGCCGATGATCATGGGCACGGCGGCGTACTTGCCAGCCTTGACAAGACGGTCGGCGCTGTCGGTCAGAGCAACACCGTCAGGGCGAGGCAGGTAAGAAAGAGCCACCGAGCTGTAGGAGAGGATGGCCGGGACAGAGTTGGCGGCCTCGAGGAAAGTCTCGTAGGGCAAGTTGCGCAGGCAGTTGAGGGTGTCAGCAGCACCGCCGCAACCGGAACGGGCAACCACAGTGTCGTAGATCTCCTGGCCCTTGGGGCAGTCGACGGGGTCAGCAGGGACAATGCTGCCCGAGTTCATGATGGCACCGCGGAACAGGGGCTTGCCCTTGTAGTTGATGTTGCCGTCGTAGAGAGACATCTGGTTCCACACAGAAATGGCACCGGCCGACTCGCCCCAGATGGTGACCTTGTCTGGGTCACCGCCAAACGCAGCAATGTTGTCGGCGACCCACTCAAGACCCATGCGCTGGTCAAGATGGCCAAGGTTGGCAGAGCCGTCCTGGAGGACTTCCTTGCCGGGCATGAAGCCAAAGGCGCCCACACGATAGTTGACAGCAACAAACACGTAGGGCTTGCCGGCGGCCATGGCATTGGAGACAAGCGGGCCTCCGTCATACATGGAGCTCCATCCAAGCTGCATGAAATGTTAGTCAAATGTTCTGAGCTTTCCCACCTTATGGCTTTTTGCTTACCTCGAAACCACCACCGTAGATCCAAAACAGGACTGGCAACTTATCGCCGGCCTTGGTGCCAGCTGGGCGGATCACGTTGATGTTCAAGCAGTCCTCACTGATCTTGAGTGCCTTTTGAAACAGGGCAGTGTTGACAACCGTGTCAATGATTTTGGCGAGCAGATCCTCCGAGTCGGTATCGGCCAAGAACTGAGGGCAGGCAGCGGCGATGCCGCCAGCGTCGTATGTGCCGAACGAAGCGGTGGTTCTGACGGGAGGCTTCAGGCGGAGAGGACCAACGGGGGCTTGGGCGAACGGAATGCCATTAAAGGCTTCCGTGTTGATGCGGCTGACACCGACAACATTGCCCTGAGCAATCGAGACAGTGGGCCTGGCTCTCTTCTCCAAAACCTGAGTGGGAGGCTCAGGGGGGGCAGTGAGGGCCTGGCCAACGAGGGCCGCGGCGGCGACGAGAGTGGCGACGCCCTTCATGATGTTTGCCGGACAAGAAGAGGGAACAGGAAGGGGTGAGAGGAAGATGGATGAGATTCCCTGGCTGACGAGTCCTCATACCCAAGGAGGGCGGCGAGGGACGAGATCTATATAGCTCTTCTGCTATTCCATCTTGTTCAACAGCCACGGAGTTTGTGTCCACCTGTAATCTCAACGACAAGAGCTTGTACCCGCCTTGCTGCACTCCACCATCGTGGGTCACCGTGGCATGGCAGGGCTTCCCCAGAAAAAGCTCCCATGTACATACGCGGACATGGTCTCCACCAAGCCAGCTGACTGACTGGCATCAAGGAGATATGTACAGGATGGGCAAGCGGCCGCGGGCAGCATCGGGCGGACTGCCGTTGCGGTACCGCTCCGAGGCGCAGTGATCTGGTTTTGGGGTTTCACTCTGAGCGGCTCTGGGTTTCTATGTACAGTCCAGGAAACAAATGATTGTTAGGGCAAGACATGAAGTCCGGGGTCCTGCGCCAACAGCCATTGGAGGCTTGGGTGGTACCGCGAGATTCTGGGGGTTGGGTATGAAAACCTCCCACTCGCCCAGCCCTTGCCGTGGGGGGGGTGGGGGGGGGGGAATGGCAATGGCCGAGAACGCCAGTGGTCACCTGGCGGTCTGGCGGATGGTGGAAGGTGGTACTGAGAGTGTCTAGCGCTCCCTCTTACGCGCATCCAGTAGTTAATGAGTCGAAGAGAAAGCAGAGTGGAAAGGCGCAAGAAAGCAGTCGACAAAAACACTGCGAAGCCGTCGTCAACCGTACTCCAACGGGCATGTGAAGAAGCTTTTGGTGCCTGACGCTAGAGGAGCCTCGGCTTGAGGGGATAGGTTGGACCGTTAGAAAGAAAGCTAATAAGTTGCGGTAAGTAGATCGTGTGCTGTAGATCTATTTCCTCGACTGGCCGGTACGCTAGAGGAAAGGCACTATCGAGGCACACTTCCCCGCAATCCGTACTCGCGCTCGCAACGGTCCTGCGTGAGGGGTAAAAGTGGCAGTCAACGCCTTGGAAAGAAAAAGATTTTGGAACGACGGCCCTGAATCACCGGGGTGTGAGGTGGTCAAGCGAGGATATGGTGGTGAGGATCAGGGAAACTGTTGAGGAAAAGTGGATCTTTTGGATTCAAAGAACTGAGTGATTCTAAGGTAATTATTATTTTTACCGCCTCGAGCGTCAAGGTACCTTACCCACGAGGGCTATTCTATACAGCGCCTTGTGTGTACCCGCGACAGTGGAAGAGTCGGACAATGCAGTCGGTGCGAGATGTGCCAGCGCCCGGTCCCTGCTGCAACGTGGGAAGTTGGAAGGCACGGGACGGGAGTTGAGCTGAGGTTGACTTCGGACGGATCTGGGGAAGTTGTGCTCAGGGTGGGGTTGTCGAAGAGTTGGGGAAGATATTGCGGGGAAGCCGGCCCTCTTTTCCCAATCCGTTTGCGACAGCCGACGCCATTCAGGTCTGGGGAAGGCATTCGTCGCTCCGCCATCCATGAATAGCTCCTTGGCACTATGACGGCAGACCATCCGTAGTCTGTACAATGGCCACTCGTGAGTTCAACGTTTGACAAGGGCTCAAGGAAAAAAGAACTCAGACTCGGGTATCCACCGACTGACACGATGTTGCAAAGCAGTCTGTTGGCCAATATAGCGACTCGTCCACGTCTCCACGATGGCAATCGGGAATTACAACACAAAAGCCCGAGACTCGGAAGGGCACAAGATGCCAGGGCCCACCACCCGTACACAGTCGCCGATATCCCATGGAAGTCCACAGCATTAGAGCTAGACTGAGCTCGTACGATCTTCGAGTCTCGAGTCTCGGAGCATCCTCCACTCAATCACAATCCCGTCCTGGACTCTTCATGTTCCCCGATGACGAACACGAACCGCCCCTGCCACCGTCGTGCTGCCCTGCCTTCCAGGTTGTTGGAGAAACCCAAGTGCGGGGGGGTGTATTAGTGCCTGGCCAAGCTCATCACAGTAGGAATCTCTTATTTGAATTCTCCGACGACGGGTGGCGCCGGTACCTAGTCAACTCATCAACCTTCATCTCCAACTTTCAGATGTCAATCACATCAAGGTCAGGATGCTGCCGAGGTGCGAATGCCATCTCAAAGTAAACAAGGATTTCTTCTGGCAGTTAGGGTCGAGGGTTTGTATGTTTTTGATATCAAGCTGTGACTTGCCTTGCCTTACCCCGGAGCCCGGGACACCTAGAAGCAGCTCACACACTGAACACGATTAGAGACAAGAAAACACCACCATCTACGTTGCCAAGAAGACTCTCGGTGCCATTCACAGGCCAAATCTACACCTCCCAAGAACTGGCTCCAGTGGAGACACCAGAACCAACAGATGGAGGGGAGGAGGTCACCGAAAGAAAAAGCTAATGCACCCCGCACCCGCCAGACTACGCTAAGGACGTTGTATAGGTACATGTCTTCCCCAGATTTTCACAAGTGAGGTTGGCCGTGATTTTTATTAGCAACTAGGATGTCACCGTACTCGAGACTCAGGTACGTTTTGAGCATGTGAAAAGGCGCTCAACTGGGACAACCAGGTATCTAACTTGGAAAAGGCCCTGCCCTGACGATCTGTCGTCAGGCATCCGGCTACTTCCCTTTTCAGCAAGGAGTTGTTTTACCCCTGAACATCGGAATAAAGTAAGTACAAAGCTGGAAATGCTTGCGATGTTAGGGAGTCCATGGGATCTGGTCCGTTCCCACTTAGATATTCAGATCGAGATGCTTTTCTCCTGCCTTTCTTTGGGTACCTATAACACTGTTTCCAGGTCAGTTCCCAGTTCACCCTAAATCGCAAGTGATGCATGGTACGTAGATGGGAACCATTGACCAATGTTTGTCTCTTGAATCCAATACAATGCATTCGCCGGTAGCTTTTGATTCCATGAAGCGGAACGACTAGTGGCAGAAGGTATCATCTTTTCATCTGTTGTCGAAATAATTGTCATCATACCTAGGTAAAGCTCAAGCAGTCGCCCTGAAATACAGCTCTTTCCCATGTCCCCAGTATGGTAAAGCGTTCAGCTTGTTCATCAATGAAGGAATACTTTTCGGAACTGGCAGAATTGGATGTCTTCACACGCTAAAGTATCTTATCTTTCTGGACGTCTTCGCCCTTCGAGCGGACATTAAAAGAGTATCAATGACCTGTCAAGAATAGGTGCCCAGTTCAGCTACATGTACCTTTGTAGTGTTGTTCTATATCTGTACTCGAAGAAGGTAGTTAGCTTCCAGGAACGCTACCTCTTCAAAGTGTGTTGTCCTTGGCTCTTTCATGTCTGTCTTGGTTCAAGTATCATCTTATGATCTTGCTATTCGCCGAGCCTTCAGAATCGGCCGGTCAGCCCCAGCGAGTAGTGTTGAAAATCTTGGCAACCCGATTTGCTTTTTCAAGTTCACATTTGGCTCTGATGGCTTGCTATGCTATAGCAGGTACTATGTACTAATAGGCATCGTCAGCTTCCTCTGCAGAACAACAAGAGATGGCCCATGCTCCACCGTTGCTTCTTCCGCCGAGATTGATGTCATTGCCGCTGCAGGATCCCATGAGGCTCGCAGGGATCTGCAACGGGCCGCAGCCGTGACAACTTCAGACGAATGAACCCTTGGTCTTAGCCACCCTTGTCAGACGGCATTCCACAGTGGGGACACTTTTCCTTTCCAATTCCTTCATGATAATGCGGCAGGAGAAAACAATCATGAGAGAAAACGCCGATGTCATGTCCAAAGAGAAAAGCTGTCATCAAGGCTGTGACAAAACCATTGCTGGCCCATCCATGGCCGACAGCTTGTACATAACAAGTGCAAGAGATATCTAATAAGCCTCCGTAATCCCAAATCCAGTAATGCTCCCAGTCAACGCCTGCCTACCATCATGCTTCATCATATCCACCGCGTATCAGGCGCGTTTATGCCGTCGTCCAGGCTTCCAACCATTGCTATAAGAAAGCAAAGCGGGGTATCCGTGGGCACATGTAAAATACATCAAAAATCGAAAGAAAAAAAAACACCCCCTTGCTATTTACAGTCGACTCATTCCCTTTTCGTTTCATTTCAGCTCCGTCATCCCTTTCCTGTCATGTTCGAATGTGTTGTGATGATGCGGCGAAAATCAGGCAGAGCAAAAGCAAAAAGCTAGGAAGATCAATCCTAGCAAACCTCCAAGGTTCCAACCGACCTCGCCGTCCGTCTCCTCTTAGCACTTGGACTGAGCACAGGTCGGTCGTCCGAGCTGGGAGGCTCCTCCTCAAAACTACTGTTCAACATTTCCTCAAGGGGTTGCCTTTCCTTATCACGACGCCGCTTGAGCTTGCGCTGGCTGATGATGTGAGCAAAAACAGGCAGTTGCTCGGGCGCAGGCTCGACGAGGGGGCCGTGAAGGTCGATGAACTCCGGGTTGTCAAATGGTGAAACCCCTGAGATCTCTGACCCGAGGGCCTTGGCAAGACGTTCCTTGAGGCCGAGAATAGGCCACACCTTGACTGGCGTGTAGGTGATCTTCATACCGAGCCCGTCTTCACTGTCGACCAAAGGGGTCTTGTGAGGGGTCATGAACCTCTCCAAGAATGCCGCGGTGATGACGGCCGTATAGACAATGAAGTGGGGGTCGCTTTCTTGTCCCTCGTCGTGGGTGATGAGCTGGACCTTGATGTCACGGAACTGCGGCATGCGCAATCGAACACCCCTCTGGCTATCATGCGCCGAGCTGCTCGGCGTCATCCTACCACTGTAGGCGGGTATGCGGTAAAAGTGTGCTTGCGCCATAGCGAGAAGGGTGGCAACGATGTAGGGGTCATGGTCGATGTTGGCGGGGATCAAGAGCTTGGAGCGCAAGGCCTGCAGCCGTGCAACAGGCTCGTTGAATATGCCGTTGGGGCCAGAAGCAATGCGGAAGAGGTTCTTGCGAATGGCGGCAAGTTGCGACCGGTTGACATAAGCCAGAATAGGGAGGTTTGGCGCATACTCGGAGTCGGATCTCACGAGTGTGTGTGGATCCAGTGTAGCCATGGAGTCGAACGAGGCATCCCGGCTGGCAGCGCTCTTCCAGACACAGGGCAGACGAACCGCTTTTCGGAAGGCCTTCATGCCGAAGAAGAGGTCGAGTTCGGCCGATGTCTTTGCCTTGGACAAGGTGTGAGGGAAGAGGGTCGACATGACATGCTTGATGGCGCGATTCTTGCAAAAGAGCTTGGTAGGCGACGGGTCGGCCTGGACGAGCACCTGCAGCTCTGTCGTCAAGACGCGCGCCATGTGGGAGGGCTCAAGCCATCTGCCGTCGAGGTTCTCTGGGACAGGCTTCTCAATGGTGGGGCGCCTGTCGAACTGGACGCCAAGGAGTTCCGAGTGCCGGTCGGTCCAGCACATGGGCATGGCGTAGAGGGAAGTGCCTGCATTGTCGTGCATGATGTCGTACAGAGAGCCTGGATCGGGACGTATGATGCGGGTGCCGGGCCGCGGACCACGGCGTGATGAACGGGCCTTGGGACTTGCCGGCTTCGGCTGGGACCTTGGTATTGGTTCCGGGGCCGGAGGGGACACTGGGCGACTGTTGAGTTGAGGCGGGGTGGGTTCGGTGATGCGACGGGGCGAGGAGCCCGCGTCGCGTGAAGTTGTCGTCATGAGAGCAATGTTGCGCAGCTGACCCAGAAAGCTGCCGCTGAAGAGAGAGCTGTCGGAGGAGCAACGGGGTAACGCGTGTCAGTAGGGAGTGCCTATGGCGCTATGTCGGGAGGCGCTGCTGATATAGAATTTCGACTTACTCAATTGCGAGCATGGAGCGGATCGGTGTTTGTGGTCGCCTTGAGGCTTACCAGGGGTGGCGGTGGGTGGATTCTATGGCAGCCCTGTTGACGCGATTTTCGTAACGGGGCCCCACAGGAAGACACACCTACACCCACAAAATGGACCGAATCCAAGGAAAGCGGTAAGGCGATGAGGTGACAGAAAATGGCAAACTGTCGTGTGTTGTTGTTGTTATCGTGATGCGACAGCAGCAGTGTGTCTTCTTTGTCCACCAAGAGCTGGGCAGGACGGGAAAGGGCTGGGTTTAAGAAACGCGACCGGGTAGGGCACGGGGGGTGGGAGAAAACCCCCTCTTCATAATGAGAGCCCGCCCTGCCTGCTGCGGGCGTGGCGACCGCCCACACAATTTGCACTTCTGCAGCCAACAGGCTTGCATTGTGCCCCGATTGTGCCGGTTGCAGCGACACGCTAGTACACGGAATCCCGTGACATGGTCGCCCAATGCGGCTTAGCCCGGCAACCAGGCATCGACGTGTTCGATCGCAGCCCAGCCACGAGCCCGAAATCCTCAACGTTTTCGTCACCGTCGGGCCTTTGGGCTCTTGGTGTCTCAAGATTTGAGATCTCTTTCTCTTGTGTTCACCGCCAAGATGTGCAGAACACCCAGAACACCCAGAACACCCGCAAAAAGAAAAGCAATCTCGGAGCACTCTATCTAGCTGAGTGTCACTTTCATCATGCGTGACCAAGGATGACCAAGGCCCGACAGGAAGGAGGGCACACAAAACCGCAAATGTTTGGCGTCATCAGATGAATTGCCAAGAAAGGGCCACTTTTCGTTTAACCGGGGTGTGCCGACCAATTAAGCCGGGCTTATCCCCACTCGCCGCCCCATTGCTCGCACAGCCGCTCGCAGGAAGTGGTGTGGCTGCCTGCGATGAGTCTTGGTGTGTCACGTGTGTAAGGTAACCAAAGAAGTCTTGATGCCTGAAGCCACAATCTGATAAACTCACGAGCCACCTAGCCCGGGAGATGGTGAGCCACAGCGCCACATTTCAAACAGTCTCCACTTTCGACGTCAAGGTTCCAGGTTGACCATGTGCCAGATCCCCCAGCAACAGCCTGGCGAAGCACCAAAGTCGACCCCGCAAGGCTGCGACCGTTGATTGATTGACCTAAGCTGCGTAAGCCGAGTTGGCACTGAAGCTCCAAGCTCCCTGACGAGAACCGCATTCGCATTCCATCACACATCAAAACAAGCTGCTCTGTTGAGAGCGCAAGGCCGTCAAGATGCCAGTACGCAAACTGCCATTCCCAAATCCAATTCACTTCGAGCCCCTATCTCCGAGCTGGCTTCGTCCCACCGCCTTCACCCCCTATTTCCCAAGCTCTACCTTTGCCAGCCAGCTCGCTAACATGTCTCCCACCGCCACCACCAGGCCTACAACTCCATGTTCAACACCGACCCCAACCCGCCCCGTTTAATAGGCAACTTCCCCCTCCTCCCCCTCCGAACCAAGATCCGCGGCCCCGTCTACCCGCTCCCTTTCCCCGAGCCGGCCCTCCCCGAGAATGAGTCCCCCGACCAGGACTCAGAGTCCTACGACATCCTCGACGAGGTCCTCGCTCTCTTCCGCGCCAACACCTTCTTCCGCAACTTTGAGATCCAGGGCCATGCCGACCGGCTGCTAATCTATGGCATTTGGTTCGTCTCGGACTGCCTGGGCAAGATCAAGCCGACGGCGTCGAGGAGGGAGGCGACCAAGGAGGTGAACAACTTGGCGTTGGATACCAACTTTGCCATTCCGGGCGACCCGAGCTGGCCGTTGAGACAGGTACACTCCATTCCCTCAATGTTGCTGTGTTGAGTTGAAGGATAAGCTGACTGGATGTTGGAAACCAGATGTACGAGCCTCCCCGTGACAGACAAGACGCCGAGGTCCTTAGGCAGTACATGATGCAAGTCCGACAAGAGCTGGCGGAGCGGTTGTTGGCGAGGGTCTATGCCGATGATGAGACACGGCCGAGCAAGTGGTGGCTGAGCTTCACCAAGAGGAAGTTCATGGGCAAGGGTCTTTAAGCGTGTTTGTTTTCTTTGACAAGACATATAACAATGTACTACAGTGATTCAAGGTGGTGAGCGGGCGCAGCACAAAATTACTTTTTAATTCTGCAAATGGTATCTATCCGACGCCAGAATGCAACCCATCCAATTTTTGCTGTGTCGAGGGCCTGGGTATCTGAGATTATAAACCCCCTCTTGAGTGATTTTCCGTGTTGCTTAACCACGATTATACCTCCTCCACCTTCGCCTCACCGTCAACCTTCCGTTTCTTGGTCGGTGACGCGACATCACCTGTCGCAGCATTCTCGGGAGCCGGAGTCCCCTCCGTATCCAGAGGCGGTAAGGTGTCGGCTCTCTTCCGCTTCCCAGCCGTAGCACTATCCTCCTCCTCGCCCGTCGCTGGTGTTTCAACTGGCGTGCCCTCCCCGTCTATCTTGGCAGCCTTTTTGGTACTGCTGGGTTGAATCTTCTTGAACTTTCCTCTGGCCTCCACTCTGCCCTCGGCTGGCTTTGCCCTCCACGCAGTAAAGACATACCCGTCGGCTCCTCCACGCTCCGTCATAAGGGGATGTGTTCTCATGGGCAACACCTGCCATCTTCTGGCGCGGCTGGTCTGTATGCTCACGCCCTGAAGTAAGGTAGGATTCAACGGGAACTGCTCGTTCCCTTCCCAGCGCTCCAGTTCCTCCAGGCTCTTCCCTACCGTCTCGGGCACGTTCCCGCTTGTCCAGGCGGTGCGCCGGGGGACGCTGAAGCAGTCAGCCAACGCAGCCAATGGCTCAATGGAGGGCGAGTAGATGGCAACAGGGGCTCCCCCTGCCAACAGTGGAAGGGTGTGCTTGAGAATGGAGATGGGGTCCATGGACGAGGCGCAAACTAGACCTGAGAAGTTACCGGCACGCGTTGAGTCGACAATGTACCGAGTGCGCGCAAACCGACGGCGCTTCCGGTGAAAGTTACCCCGACGGCTAGGCTTCCATGAAGCCAGCTCCTCTGCCGACGCTGTCGGTGGTTCGGTAGAATATGAGGTGTCAAGCTCAGGCTTGAGGAGTTGTAACCAGGTGAGGTTGAGGAGGTGGTTGAGAAGAGGGTGGGGTGGGTGATTTGGTGCTGTGACGTCAAAGTTCCAGTAATTGAGGAGCGAGAGGTTTGGCTGGCTGGTGCTGTGAATGACCGTGAGGGTATTGGTTTGGGAGAACGGAATGGCAAAGTCGGACCCCCTGGGCCTAACCTTTTGCTTCTTGTTGGTTGTTGTCATCTTGGGCCTTTCAGGTACTGTCGTTTCCGGCACCACATCTACCATGTCAACATCCCCATTTTCCTGCGCGGTTCCATTCTGAGTCTGGGCGTCTGTCTTGACCTCCTGCTTGGCCTCTCTTGCCGGTGCCTGTTCAGTCACAGTCGCGTCTTCGCCCTCCTCCTCCTTTGGGTATAGCACCCCCATTCTCTCAGCCATGGCTGCCACCAACATGCCGCAGGTATCGTCAACCACTAGCCACCTGCCCTTGAGCTCATCTGGTTGAATTGGAACGCACGTCTCCTCGCCCTGGTCGGTCCGAGAGTGGGGGTCGTCAATCATGCTGTCCTCGCCGCCGTAGTGCACATTTCCCCAGCATCCGACAAGCCCAAACATTTCGGCGCGCATGTCCATGATCTTGCTAGCATCCTTCTCCTCCAACTGCCATTGCGCAAAAGTAGCGACGTCGATGGGGACGACCTGAAAGCGGCGGATGTACTTCTTCGTCTTGAGTAGCTTGTACTTGGCCAAACTGAACGTCGTCTTCTGGTCGAGGGCTGTATGAGATAACATCAGCTTGGCGATTACATCCTTGCCGGCATTGTTTCCCTCCCGCTTGAGCTCCTCGATCTCGTCGTGTGTCAACTTTTGGATGGCGCTGTCGTCGATAACTTCGCGGCCGGATCGAGCAACGATATTACCCTGCTCGTCCACCAAACTGAACTCTTCGCCCTCGGTCGCGGTCAGCACGGCATTGGCATCTCGGTCTGCCGCAGTGGTCTTCCCTTCGGCCTCGTCCTCTTCGGCGATGACCTCGGCGTGGAGCTCGCTGGCGGGAACGATTCGAAGACGAGAAAAAGCCTCTTCGGGAGTCTTGTCTAATACTTCGAAGGTGAGATGATACGGGCGACCGAGAACAAGGTTTGCGGGAAATGCGCCATATTTTCCTAGGGAGATCGTCCTGTTGATTCAATGTCAACAATGGCCCATGGCTTGAGTGACCAGCCGTCGCAAAGGGATGGGAAGGCGAGGGAAGAACCTACGTATCTGGAACGATTTGGATGATCTTTGTTGACCCTGAGGGAAGCTTGAGGCCAACCCAGGCATTGGGGCGGATGAGGGAATGCATGCTGTACACAGTCTCAACACGGTGAAGCTGTATTGACAAAGGTCAGATGCAACGGCATGGATGCATCAATTGCGACTCCCGTGGAGAGGCCCAGAAAAAATTTCCACCAGGGGCTGCAACCTCAGCACAATGCGGGGCGCTTTTGGCGGGGTTGGGGGACCTGGGGAGCAGGTACCTTGACGGCCACTGATAAGAAGCCTGGAAGCTTATCGCTTTCACTGAACAACTGCCCGGAATAGCACGTATACTGAGAGGTAAAATCAATGACAATCTATGCATTAGTTTAATAACCAAACCCACCAGTCTACTCCAACTACTGTTTCTTGTTTCATCCACAGTCCTGTCCTTCCCGCATCTTCCGTCACCAGGCAGCCCACGTACAACATCACATCATCCTGTCTTGAACCATTCAACTTCGGCCCTGTGTCTCCATTGACAAGCTCAACCAACAACAAAAGCCCCAACAACACCCAGGCCCATGGCCAACACCAACTTCGACGTCTTTCTTTGCCAGGCCTCAGAGCTAGCCTCTTCATTGACTGTCTGCTTGGCCTGGACACAGCTCAACGATCCCGAACTGTCATGAACCTCGCCGCTCTCCGCAAAGTGCGTCCAAGTCATCAGCACCGGCCAGATCATGTGCTCAGCCTCCCGAATCGACGAGCTATTCCCCTTCTCTGTTGGGCTCGACCCAGCCGCGAAAAACAATGAGCTCCTATCCGCAGCCAGCGGGTTCACGCCGTTCTCATTCTTGCTAATCGGCGTAATCTCTACCATCCGTTGTCAGCTCAGCCCCTCGCAATAGAAGAACAAAATACTGACCATAACCCGTCCCAACAGGACTATCGCCCTCCACCCCCACCAACCTGAAATACCCCTGACAAACCTCGGGCACACTCACATCACTACAACCTCCTTCCTTCCCCCCGTTCCCCGCCAACCCATTCACCTGTAACTGATTGATGCAATCACTCGGCAGCATCTGCTCACACCCCCCATCACCACCATCTTTCAGAATCTGACTCGTATTCCCCGTCCCCTGAACCAACCCGCCCGTGAACACCATGGCGCAAACCCTCCAGGTGCTGGCATTAAACCCCGGAACTAGCCCCTCGTCAGGCGGGATGATTTTGAGCGTCGTGGTCGTCATGAACTGCTTCTTTTTGTCGGATAGGGTAGACGCCACACCGGAAAGGGAAACATCAGGGGTGATTCCTATCTCCAACGCCCAGCCTTGCACCCGGGAGGCGGTGCCGTCTGCTGCCCCGGCGGGGATGGAGAGGTTGTACCCCGTGATGGGAAAAGAGGCGTTGGAGATGGAGTTGAATCCCCTGATGGTCTCGAGAAAGGGAGCAGCCGGGAGACCATAGGGGGCAGAAGACAAGGGAGAGGTGCCGCCGACAAAAGACTGGGCAAAGGAGGAGCGGGGCAGGAGCAGCATGAGGAGGGAGAGCGGGATCGAGTAAGAGGACATGGCGATGATGTGCGGTTCCAAAATGGCTGTGATCTAAAGGAACAAGAAGAGAAGCTTGAAAAGGAGGTCGTCGGTCGAGTCCATTTTATGTCTCTCTCCTCCACAAACAAGGAGAGGCGAGATACACGCGCAATGTACCCAAAGCAAGCAGAGGCCTAAGAATAGAAGACTGTGTTGGGCTGGTGGAGTCTTGGCTGGATGGGTTGGAGGCTCTGGCGCAACAACATCGGGGATCGAAAGAGAGAGAAAAGGCCGAGAGATATAGCCAGTGACAAGACCACCGGCGGGATGTCTTGCAGCTTCTCGGACAATAACCTGCAAGGAGAGGGTCAGAGCACTACATACTCGGGAGCCGTGAGACGGACTAACTATATGCAGGCAGAACTGTTGGCAGATCTATGGTGAACATTAAAGAAAGTAGAACCTGTTCTTCCTTCTGGCGGGTGCCCCTCCATTGGGCCTTCACTTCTCCTGGACCAAATGACAAACGACGGGGCCGTCCCCAGGCCTCTGACGAAATGGCCGATCAACAGAAACACAACGGTTCCTGTAGTTATCTCGGTACCTTAACACGCTAACAAAACACAGTTCAACGGCGGAGTTGCAGCAAGGGGGCGGAAAGCTTAATCCCACCTCGACCGGCCGCTGGGTTGTTAGCTCGCCGTCTTGGTGCTCGAAACCCTTGACAGATCAACCTGAGACCCCGATGCCCGGATTCTGCAGAACTCCAAAGTTGAATTCTTTGCTTGTGATCGTCCCCAACCAGCCCCTTGCCAACCGCCCCAGGATGAATGGCACGACAAGGTAGGACAATTTCTTGATTTTTCTTCTATCCACTCTCTCTTCTTCCAAACAACTCTAGACTCGCTAGCTAGCAGACAAGATCGAAAACCAATTACCACCCATCGACGCCGACCAGTGCTCAAAACTGTGTGTCATACGACCCAGAAACAACAGACTGGCTGGTTGGCTGACTGACAAAAAGTATACAGACAAACAATGTGACGAAAAACGACACTGACCAAACAAGTGAGAGGACGAAGGGGATATCATAGGTGTTAATATATGACACAGCCACAGCAGTAAAATGTTGTTGTATATACGAACACATGTCAGTCAACATCAGGCCCATACCCAAGTCAAGAAAACACAGAGGAAAAAAGAACCCAAAAGGAAAAAAAAGCCAGATACACCAAAAGTGACAAAAGGAGATGTTTAATCCCCAAAGCTCATCCAGGCCCAGGAACCAACGGCACTTCCGAGAATGAGGATGGTCAAGATGGCCGCGCCCGCCCTGTCGCCGTTGGTGATGGGGGCGAGCGGCTCACTCGGACCTCTGGACCTGGAACCAGCGTCGTAGTTGGGCTTGCTCAGACCTGTGATGTTGTTGGCTGGAGGAGGTGCGTCGTCAATCAGCAAGCTGGACACAGCAGCCAACACATTCATCTGCTCGCCAGCGCCGCTCGTCTTGTCGACGGCAGGATCAACATAGACACCCTCCCTCCAGTAGAAACCGCACCTCCGACCCGTGTCACCTCCTGTGCACTGCTTGACAGCAGCTTCGGTAGACGTCCTCAAGACCGGGAGGATCTTGTCCCGGGTATGCGGGGCGACCTTGGTGACCACGGACAGCCAGCGGTGGACGTAGCCCTTGAACGACAACATGTCTGCCGTGCAGGCGCCCTTGCGGCCCTCGCAGGGAATTTCGTAGGCGATGTCGTCCTCGAAGAAATCGCGATGCATGCCCTCCCACAGCTTGTCGACTCTCGTCTTCCAAATCTCACTGCCGTTGGTGTAGTTATACATGAAGGCGCTCCCGTGCAGCAAGAGGGCGGCGTTGTAGCTGAACTGGGCTTTGTTGATGTCGGTGCAGTTGTGCTCGACGTGGCCACCGTCATACACACGCCAGTCCTTGTTGTCGATATACCCTACATCCCACAGCCACTGGAACGTCTTGTCGGCCCAGTCGGCATATGTCTGGTTGAAGGTGTAGGCTGCCAGGCGGGCGCCCAAGTCAAAGAAGCAGCCGTTGGCAATGGTGTTCTTGTAGTTGTAACCTGCGTTGGTGGGGGGAACCTGCCATCTCAGACCTCCGTTGCAGGTGTTGTCGTGTCTTTCGGGGGCGGCTTGGGTGTGGAAAACAGCCTGGGCCAGGGCGAGCCACTGGGGCTGGTCCTCCGGCGGGTTGGGGAATTTATTCTCGGCCGCCAACATGGCACTCATGCCCCAGAAACCCTGATCGTCGTTGCCCAGCGAGGCCGTATGGTTGGGCGGCATGTAATCCTCGTTGGGACCGACCTGGTGAATCATGCCTTCGGTGACTACCTTGTTGTAGGACTCGTCGCCTGTTAGAAACCAATAATCGACGTAAGTGCCCATCATGGCTCCTCCTTCCCACCAGTAGTAGTCGCCCTTGTGTTCTGTGGGGGGACCGGGGAGAATGCCGGGAATTTCACCCGACTGGTTGCCCTTGTAGTAGAGCATGAGGTCGTAGGCGAGCGTGGCGGCGGACTCCTTGATTTCGGCTGCAAACAACAAAACAGTCAACATCAATTCATGGGATTCTCTCGACATGTGCTGAGTCCGGTCGGTACCTTTTGTGCCCAGCTTATAGACGGTAGCTCGTGCGCCGGGAAGCAAGCAGCTTGTGGTGGCCAGCAGCGCCGTCAACCATCGCGACGGGCTTTTTGGTGCTGGCGTTGTCGCCATTTTCGTGGCTGTGGTTGTTGCAATCGCCCAATCTTCTGTATCTGCTATGATATCCAACTTGAAAGTTTGGGTGATCTGGGGGTATGCGTCGTTGTCGTTGGTGGTCGAATCCGGAATAAGGTCGCGCTCAGGTCAAAGCGAAAGCTGGAATAGGGGAACGAGCGTGGGTTTGGTGGGAGTAACGAGTGTGGGTGACGGTGGTGGTGATGACCAGCACCTGGTGTTTACCTAGTTCATCAACATATACCTTACAGGTGATGATGACGGAGGGGTGGTGGTGACGATGATAACGGCGATGGAGGCGGTGGTAGATGGAAAAGAGCGAGGCCAGGTGGAAATGGCATGGTTTCAGGAGGTGGGAGGGCCAAGATGACGCGAAGAAACACCTCCTTGTCGCTGCTTGGTATTCCCGTTTGGCGCTTGGCTTCTTGGCTTTTTTGTTTTTTGGCTTGCAATGGCTGGGCATCGGCGAGGCGGTGCACGCTCGCCTCCACTGTTGACGGTGCCATTGGCTGTTGCATTTGCTCTCCCAGCCTTGGCGGCCATCAGGAGCACTGCGATGCAGGTGGGCCTCTCTTTTTTTCTCGGTGATATCCCTCGAGTTCCAATACAATTCATTCCGGGCACTAGGTGAGTCGTGGATGCTGCGCCGTTAGTCGATTCATCATTTTCGTTGCGCCGTCAGGACCGGACACGCGGATATCAGCATCGGAGAAGCTCTGCCCGCTGCTGCCGGTGAGGTGGGCAGGGGAATACGGAAGCCAAGATGCACAGAGAGGCCACCTCAAGATCCCAACCTGGAATCCCCACCACAGGCCCCACATGCAACTGATCAACCCCAGAAACCGTGAAAATCCACCCCACATACTGTCGATGTTCCAGACCCTCCAAAACCTGTTTTAATTCAGATCCAAGCGCCCCGAACGACTTCAACAAGAACGATAAGATATATATACGTGTGGTAGCCCTCTACTACATGGACTTGTCCCTGTCGTTCTCTGGCTATCTACCTGAGTCTCGGTGGTACACTGGTTGTCAACGCCGCCCACTTTGGCCAATTTCTTGTCTGAAATCTCGACTAACGCGTTGGAGACTTGGAAAACACTTGGAAGCTGTTGGCATACGTCAACCGGTACGCTCAACGGCTTTTTCTGCCAGCGATCACCTCTTGTTCGGAATTGTTGGCACGCGCGTCCCCGACAGCTAGCAATCTCACAATTTGCGTATCCGTATCTGATGTGGCTGATTACATCTCGTATTCAGTCATGGCTTAGACCGACAATGCATACTTTTTTTCTATTTACATATCCTGTCCATTTACATACTTCAAAACAGTGACTGGCGCACACACTAACGCTCCCTATCTACCTAGTTGTTTGCCGTCTTGTCGTTGTAGTAATGGATCTGTCGGGCAATGTCAGTTGGTACCATCTCAATCACTCGAGTAATTATGAGGGGAACTCACAGTATGGTCGGAGCACCCTGCAGGCGTTTGATAACCATAAGCGCCCGTGTTGATGAACAGCTGCTGGTTCTTGCACACAAGCCAGGCTCCGACGTTCTGCCTCCTGATGCTCGGCACGCTCCACGTGAGTGTGTCTCCCTGCCACGCAAACGTCCCAAACGTCGACTTGGTCGTGTTGAAGAAGGTGGCCAGAGTACGAGGAGGGTTGGCCTTGTCGGCCGGCTCCTCCACCCAGAGATACAACGGTGGGTTGGATACCTTGTTGACTAGCTGTCCACCCTCGATGTTGAACTGTCCTGCCGTGGTGTGTGACTCGAGAATAGCGATGCCGGGAACATTCGCGGGCTTCGTCTGGAGGTATTTGTGATAGTTTGGAGGCGTCACGCCACGAATCCAATAGGCACCTTGCTGGAGGGTGGTGGGAGAGGGCGTGGAGACTGGTGTGTCTGCTTGAGCAACAGGTGAGGCTAGGCAGGCGCCCGCGCTGAGCAGGATGGAGACAATGGTTGACTTCATGGTGGTGGCGTTACCGACGAGAGTCTTGGGTTGTCGACAAGCTTTGAGATGGAAGGTTAGCTGCACCTCGGCTTTTAAGGGGTCCCTCGGTCAGAACGACGCCGATCGGATGATCGAAGATCAATATAAGGCTCAATATATACACCGGGGCCTTTGCCTCCTGGCGAGCGCTTTGCTGGTGGAATTAACCTCTCCGCCGGTATTGAGCTGCTTTAATCCCGCGTCCCGTGAGAGGGGCACTGCTTTGTGAACAGGAAAAGGTAGATCGGCTGCTCTGCTAGATCCGGGTAAATGGCCTCGACATGAAATGATCGATTGTTACTACCACATAAAAGAAACAGACTAATATTGAAAATATACAAGAAACCATGTCCTCGACACATGAACATGTATACCAATACAGCTCGTCCCGATGTCCCTGAACCCCTGAATCCTTCACGTAATCACCTCAGCCTCGCGATGTTCGCATCTCGTAAACATTCTCCCGTCGCTTCCCTTTGGCGTGCATATCAGCAGGAGCCTCCACCACCGGCACCGTCCCGGGACTGATAGGCTCTCCCTCATAAGGACTCAGTGGCCAAGGGTTGTTGAGAGGGTGGTTATGTGTAGGAGGTGCAGGTGCAGGCAAGTCTTGCCCCCACACGGGCTTGATCATACTACTTCGGGTGCTTTCAAAAGGATTGCGCTCTGAAAAGGCCGGTCCCGGTGATGGACTCATCAGTGCAAAATCCCTGGGATTAATCGCGTCATAGTAATCCTGAGCTTGCTGACGATTCTGCTTCTTCTTGCGGCGTCTGCAAAGAAACATGATGAGCAGAGTGAGAATGATGACCAAGATTAGTATCCCGCCTATCACCGCCCCTGCGATGACGCCCTAGGTCGTACCAGGCATGTCCATAGGTCGGGAGCTGGGTGTTGCCGACGCGGAAGGCACGGGACTGGCGTGGATCATGGCCTGCTGCCAATGTGGTCTCTCACCGCATCCGACCATGGTCTGGAACGGACGATCGTGATATGTCAGCGTGTTGCAAAAGACCGAGGCAGGATTGGTGCTGTTTGATCCAGGTCAGGTTGTTAGAGACGACGCCTCAAATGTTCTTAGGACACCGTACACGTACCAACAGGTTGTATGTGGACCAAGATTATTGCAACGCCCACGACTGAAGTCGCCGTTGTCTAAGCAGGCTGTGGCGACATCGCAACCTACTGATGTTGGACAGCAGCCCACATGGCCTTGAGCGGTACTACAAACCAACCCTCCGTTGCATGTTATAGGCTTGTCTATTGGGCCATGTTAGACCAAAGCAAAGAGGCAGGGTTTGGAACGTAAGCAACGTACTGATATCGCCTTGAATATAGGCACAGGTAGTGAGGGCATTCTGTCTCAACAACAGGTCCCGCGGACTATGAGGAGGGTTTGGGGATGCCGTAGGAGCGGGTGCCTGTGCTGGTCCATGATCCCAGTCAGGAGCCTCTGCGTGGAAATGCGTGGGCTTTGCCGCATGCCATCTTGATTCCGGCGCGAGAGCACCTTGAAAGCTTCTATGGGCACCTTCGGGGACTCCGTGATGAGCTCCTCCAAAGTGGGCTTCATCTCGGAGAATGAGTGAGAGGAAGAAGAGCCACATAACTCGGAAGGTTAAAGTTGGTACGGTCAAGCCCATGTCGGACATAGGTATTCGCAGCACTGGACGAGTGGAAATGAAGACATTCAGCAATTCTGTATCTTTGATCCACCTAGTGCTTAAAGCGCTTGCGAAAGTCTGGCCCGACAGTCTGGACAGGTCAACTGAGCGGGGCAGAACAAAGACTAGATCTCCAAAGACCTTCGGTAGCTGGGCAAGCTAGGTATGAGCGCCTGGGAAGCTTTATCCAGAGCCTCATTCGGAGACCGACCATGCGTGCCGTGGCGTACGCGTTCTCTCAACTACAAAGAAAACCTCGGGAATTTTGCACAAATCAGGGCATTTCTGTCCTACCTAGTAGAATGCTGACTCAAGTACCTCGATTGCGAGCTGGCCAATGCGCCGGCATGTGTGGGAAAAGGGGTAATTCAGGGGTAACCAAGATTTGTTCCTATAGCACGGCAGAGAACTCTAAATGGCCAAAATGTCTCATTTTTCTCACCGAAACCAACTATTATTAAGGTGCTGTTTATTCTATATACGTATTCATTAGGCATTATTTCATGTCATGGCATCTGTGCGAACTTTGGCTCATTGACTCAGATATCGATCCATCTCGCCATCCATTTGTCAACAGCCTCCTTGGCCTCATCAACCAGCCCAAGTTCTGTCAAACTGTTAGCCACCCCATCCAAATGTTATCGGAACCATCAGACGAAACTTACCCAAAAGAAGCTGAACACCACCTCTGATACCGCTCTCCAAAGCAGAGGCAATCCAAGCATGCGTGTAGCTGGTGTGCTCGCCGACAAAGATCAACTGTGTCCATGCGTTAGCTTTTTATCATGTCAGTCTTGAGCAAGGCAGGAAGACGTACCCCATCATAAGTCTTGAAGTACTCGGGAATATACAGCTGATGCTGTCCAATACTTGGGTTCGCCCAGCCACCCCTGGTGAGCTCGTCTTGAGCCCAGCACCGCCTGTTGTACCGACCAGTGTACAGCTTCCTCGTCTCCTCGCCGTGGATCTCGGTCATGGCGTCCAACACATACTGGACGTGCTCTTCTTCTGACAGCGACTCAAGCAGCGCGCCAGTGTCATAACTCGCCAGAATGGAAGCGGGCCCGGTGCCGTTGATGTTGTAGGATGGGTAGCAGATGGAGCCGATACCGGGGATGTCGGTGGAGGTGCTGCAACTGCCGAGGATGGGGTTGGCGTACTTCTCCCAGAAGCGCGTCTTGTACTCGAGGGCGACCTTGCAGGCGTTGGCGTACTCGAGCTTGCGGATGGCGTTGGAGATGGTGGCAGGGAGGGTGGGCATTCTCCAGGAGCGGACGACGGAGAAGGGAGCAGAGATAATGGCGTAATCGTAGCCGGCAGAGGAGAGCTTGGACTTCTTCCCATTGCGGGGGTTGCTGTCTCGGTAGGAGAGCTGGACCTTCTTGGAACCCGTCTTGGAGTCGGTGGAGAAGGCAACACGCTCGACGGCGCGGTTCATGATGGTATCCTTGTTGACCAACGGGTGAAAAGCCAAGGGGAGACGGTTGAGGCCGCCATCGATGGTCTTCCAGGAGGCGGCTCGGAAATAAGCGCCGCTGTAGATGCTGGACCAGTAGCTGTGATCGCTTCCGCCAATAACATCTGTGTCGTTGAGGCTACCCCCAAGATGGTGTGTCAGGAAAGCAAACTCGGACCACGTATCACCACCAAGACCCTTGAGACCGTTCTCGATCCAGTCCTTGTGAGCCTTGAACATGTTGTTGGCCACATCCGCATACACACTGCTGGGAGGCATGTACTCGCTCAGGGCCGCAGCCAAAGCGATGGTCGAGTTGTCCCGGGGCATAGAAGGGGTCCCCAAGGAAGGATCGGCCGCAATCTGGGCAGAAGTTGGTGGCAGACCGGATGGGAGCTTGAAACCGTTCCTGTAGACCAGTCCGTTTGGCGAGCTCTGGTACCAAGGCTGGAAGCTGACGGTGAGGTTCTTGCTGTTCTTGTTCAGCTTGTTGATCTCCTCGGCGACCTGGAAGACGATCTGAGAGTCGGTGATTTCGAGCGTGCTGTTGGTTGCTGGATCATTGTAGGTCCAGGGGAACCGCATCGGGCCCATCTCCTGGTAGGAGTAATCGAAAGCCTTGCCGCGCAGGTACTCGGTGTGAACTCTGCCACCAAGACGGTTGCCGGCCTCAATGATCTTGACATTCTTGAGGCCCGCTTGAGTGAGGACGAGATAGCTCATCAGCCCAGACATGCCGGCGCCCACAATGGCGACCTCCTTCTCCTTGGCGGCCTTGACGTCAATGGGCCCCGGTTGTTGGTCCTGGAGGAGCTTGACACCCTCGAACCAGGGACCAAGGGTTTCAATTCCCGTGGCGTTGGTCATGGCGATGGCTGTGGATCGTTAGCAAATGAGGTGCGTCTTGTTTCACCAGAGTTGAACTGACCAGCTCGCTTCTCTGCTCTCTTTGCGTGGCGATTCTCAAGGAGCTGAGGCTCACTCCTCCCCAGAAGCTGCCCGGCGGGGTTCCAGGCGGAGAGGCATCCCCCAGACTCAGACCTCTCGGGAAGCTTCCACACAAGGCGTGTCTCCTGTCTCTTTCCCTGGACCTCGCCCACGGTGTGATGAGCATCTCTAGCAGAGAGAGATGAGCAAGAACCGTAGGAAACGGTTACAGGACCGGCCACGTCTCTCTCGACAAACAGGTGGACGTTGCCAAGGCGAGAGGTCACGGCATGGCGAGTCTCGAGCCTGACAGGGTGGCTGTTGAGGTTGACTGAAGCAGCAGCAGCACCTCCGAGGAGGAGGAAAGATGTAAAGCCGACCATTGTGAGGAGAGGGGGGTGGTGGGACCTGGTCGTTCTACCCGGAACGACAGTCTCAGCAGACCTGGGCCTCGGGGTCTTTTATACGGAAGGGTGCCCTCAACATGGCCGTGCCGGCTTACCATCCCGAGCTCGGAGAGGTGAAGCCTCGGAACATGGACGAAGAGTCCACCCACGCATAATCGGATCAATTGCTCCATCGATAAACAGTTTCCCTGTTGAGGTCAGCTGCGGGATGGACGCCTGCCCGACAGCTAACGCCCGTTTTGTGTAAATCTTTGACAAATCGTGCCTCTCCCCCGCGAGGAAGGCGAATACCTACCCTGGTGTGTTCTGTTCTGATTGACTGCTTTGGGAGAAGATGGAGGGGCGGTTAGCAGCGTGGGTGGATTGGATCCTTGTCAGACTTTGTCCCCGATCCCTCTTCACCATTGTACCGAAGGATCCGAGAGGTGCTCTTTTGCGCTGTGCAGTTGCAGTAGTTATCGGGTCTAGTAGATATCTGCATATCCTGGGGAAGTTCGCTTGGAAGACGACCGTTGTTATCCGTATCTTGGCCCCCATGCTGGTGGAGCGCCCCCCCATTCCTGTTCGGGAAGGTGGTTGATTTGTCAACAGCAGGACACAGCTAAAGGAGCAAAACTCCATCTTGTTGTCGTGATAAGGCGCGTTTTCTTGATTTGTTTGTTGCAATTGGTCATGGGTTGTCAACGGCTTCGTTGATGTTATACCAAAGGCGTAGAGGGACCCGTCTCTGATTCCGAGGTGGTCAGCCGGGAGAACTCCATTTCCGAGTGAAAAGGCTACGTAAGGTAGCTTGCGTAAACAGATACAAATCTACCTACATATCTTTCCATCTTATCATGGGCTCCTTTCGCATCATCGTTTAGCTCGTGTGCTAATAAGTCTCTCGTACTTCGGGTTGCCTGCCGGTTGTACAAGCAGTTTCGACGAGAGGTTCCGTCGTGTCTAGCTAACAAAGAAGTACCATCGTGAAGGTTGTTATCTCGCTTGCCCATGATGAAGAAGCAAAAAGCAAATTGGCAAAGGCGGCTTTGGCAATATGAAGTAAACAAACAGAGTATAAAAATAGGGGTGAAAACCGAGGCCTGTCAGTCGCAATGAGCCGGTTACATTGGGCGCAAGGCGGGTAAGGTAAAGGTAAGGTAGGTACCCTACCTACGGAGCATTGCATGGTGCTAAGGTAGGTACCAGATGACGCGATTCGAACCAGAGTTTTGATCTGAGAAGCTATAATTAAGGCATGAGCAGAGTCTCATCCCCCTAGATAGGGTCTAGTCCCAGTACCCACACGTTGATAGGTCTTTATCAATGTCCCTCCCCCCGTGTCAAACTCCTCCCATGAAACCTTGCCAGCCAACTATTCGCCATCATCACTCTGATTCTCTTGCCCCAGATCATGAAAACGAAGACCATCATGTTGTTTACCACCAAGATGGGGACGAAAGCCGCCACAACAATCGTGACATATCCATGCTTGAGGATCCAGTTCAACAGCTCCCCGCTAAAACCAAAGCTGATGGCCTGCTTGCCAAGGTTCATGATGATGAGCATCTCGCTCAAGTTGGCATTGTACGAATCAACCGCATAAGCCAATGTGAGTGTGAAGTAAAAGTAACCAGCCCACTGGGTGATACCGATCGCGATGAAGTAGCATATCCAGTGGAGATTTCTGGCTGCAGCCATACCAAAGAGAACTTGGCCTGCCGGAGCGACAAACGCGGCAGGAATGAGAACCCCCAGTCTCATTTCGGCTTCTCTGATGCCCCCATTCCTCCTTGTGAGCCTCGCGGCCAGGATATCGGATGCCGGGAGTAGAGGAAGAGCAAGGCCGAAGCCAATAAAAGTCGCAATGGCGCTCAGACCAGAATTTGTCTCGGGCCAATTGTATGGGGGCTGAACAATCTTCAACGGGAAGACGAAGTTGAAGGAGAAGCCGCACAGTCCAATATAGATGCCGTAGGTGGCGATGACCCAGAAGGTGGAAGGAACCAAGAGATGGGTGAAAGCTCTGAATGGCATGGCCCAAAAGTCACACGTGTAGTCGAACTTGTCCGGGAAGATGCTGAGCTGCTGTTTCCAAGACTTGCGCCGAGGAAGGACAAAATTGCCCGACAGCTCTGCAGTCTCTGGCTGCCGCTTCTTCTCATTGCCTTCTGCCGTGGTCGCAGCCGACGTCACAACCTCGAGGTTGCTCCCGCTTGATGACCCACCTGACGGAGCAACAGGAGCTCTGAAATACAACGACTCTTCCACAAAAAGAAAACACAAGAGCAAAAGCGCGACACCAAAAGCCAGCTCGACATAAAAGAACAAGTTCCACGAATACCCGGCCGCAAGCATAAACCCGCAAAACATCGGCCCAGTCGCTCCCAGACACAAGGCAACCGTATACCACCCCAACTTCTTCCCTCTCTCGTGCAAGAAGAAGATGTCATTCACCAACTGTACCGGCAACGCCTCGCAAACCCCGCTCCCAAAAGCATGCACAATCCTCCATGCTAGCAAACCCCCATAGGTCGTCGATTGACTCGCCCCGATGATCCCCCCAATATATGCCACCAGGCTCAGCAACATGACCGGTCGCCTCCCGTACCTCTTGTACAACGGCACCAAGATCACACTCCCAAAACCGAAAATCAAGTTGGGGTAGTTCACCAGCCCTGCCGCCGTGTTGGGATCGACGTTGAACTGGGCGGACCAAAGCCCGATGTACACTGCCGGTCCGAGCAAGGCAGAGATTCCCAGGAAGGAAAAGGCGCAGGCGCAAAACATGATCATATGTTTCTTGAACTTGGTCCATTGTAAGGGGTCGTTGGGGTCGGCCGAGGGGACAGGGAAGAGGGCCTGGCCGTAGTGGGTTTCTTCACCCTCTTTGGCAGCGAGGCTCACGGTGCCTGGGATGGACTCCTCGTGAGCGTGGCTGTGGGGGTCATGGCGGATGGCGATGGCCATTTTGGGGGGTGTGTGAAAGAGGGCAATGTGCTTTTGTCAGATGTCTGTCACCCAGATTACCAAACTGTTGACACAGACGTCAGCAGTGGCATGTCTTGACATTGGACATACAAGCAAAGGTAACCAGATGGCACCCGGGGAAGGGAATCAGGAGGATATTATATGTAAATCCCATCGAGAATGATCAACCGGCCACGCGAACGATCCTGCAAGATATATACATTCCATCCAACCCCCTCACTCAACAATAGCAATAGGAGAGTTGGACTGACACCACCGAGCTTCCTCGGACAATGAAAAGGCGAACTGGTTGCACAACAATCACTACCGCCCCCAGGAATTACGCTGGTAGCTGCCGTGGCGACATTGTAAGATCTACATTCGGAAGATGGCAACCTGCAATGGCACGAGCCAATACTCGCACACACACATGTATATACAGTACCGCGGGAGGATGTCAGCCGGTACACCCACCTCATCTGCACGAACCATGCTCCAGATAGTGGGCATACTCAACCACGTGGTGAATGTGTATGTCAGAGATGCCCAATCCCCCCTCATTTGCCTTGGTTTGTGACTTAGCGATAAAGCAAAACAGCACGAGTAAGATACATGCTCACCGTGTAACCTTATTCGCAAGGGAAATCTTGGGGGTAAAACCACAAAACAACATCGATGTCATGTCCACAGAGAAGCATGCACCCACTCGGACGCATTAAAGGATCAAACTGGATGACATTTACCAAAGTCTATACAACAAAAACCGCCTCAATCTCCTTCTCTGGCTGTCAGATTTGGAGATTGGAGGTACCGGGAGTGTGTTTCCTGCCAAGAACATGGGGAAGACGGTTGCTGTCTATCTGACCTGAGAGTGCCGGCTTGGAAGCCAACATGCGTTATGCTGTTGGCTCTGAACTGTCCGCTCCATGTCCATTGGATTCACCCGTCGCACGGCATGTTGTGTTTATGCATAGTTCTCGTCCAATGTTTCTGTAGGTACTCCGCTTTGGGACGGTCTCTTTTGATCTGTTGGCCGTTTATTTCAGAACTTGTTCTGGGTCAACGGACGTCCAGTATAGATACTAACATGATTCTGTACGACCAACGAGCTTGTGGAACCAACCCTAGTGCTCGAAATTGTGTTACTACCTAGGTAGATCGGTGTTTAATGCGAGGAGTTGGGTTCTGTTCGAGAACTGACATGGTTTATATTGGCCACGACTTCAGTAACGGGCAGCTTATCTTCCGCGCAAATCTCTACGAAGCTGGTTTCGTAAAAACACTAGCACATACTGCACATAGAGCTGTACAACAACGTGGCTCGGAAATTCAATTCAGGCAGTCCGAACCGGCCTGAGAAATCCCTTTGTGTGTCTGCGATGTACCTCAAGTCACCAAAGAGCAAAAAAGGGCGTGTCTAACCCGCTCTATCAGGCTCAAACATTTCCTTGGTTCGTCATGTTGTGTAACCCCAACATAAAAAAACATCAACGGTCAGATCCAATCGGCGGCTATTAGAACGGCCGAATGGCCCGTCCCCCTCTTGCAGACGCCTTCGGTAGACGCTCAGGGACACCTGGCCAGAGAGTCTCGGGCAAACACGGTACTGTGTTGATAAATCACGAACTGCGTGGATTTGAGGTGTTCCAGAGAATTGTTTTTTAGCATGATAGGATTCATGACTGCATTGAGCCGTCAAAAATCTTGTTATCAGCGATGAAACATCACCGAAGAAGGGGGGCAGATTAAAAGTTAGGAATTAAACCGGCATATAGACTCGGGATCAGGTGTGCAATGTGCAAGACTCCATCCGAGGGTATATATCTATATTTACACATGAACCACCCAAAATCTCTTCCTGGGGGTATCCCGCTCAAAGTAGCAGGCCTTAGGCAAGGAACATGAGGGCCCACCCAGCCACTGCAGCAGCCAAAAGACCAGTGGCGGCACCGGTCACACCGGCGCCGCTGGTGTCGTCCCGGAACTCTTCAGCGGTCGTCTGCTCGCAGATGCCCGAGTCCTTGAGCGCATCGGCGGGGACATAGACCTTGGGAACGCCGTTGTTCATCTTCATGTCGATAGTGCCCGACATGCCAGCCTGGTTGGACTGGCAGGTGAGGACCTCAACGACCTTCTGATCGGCCTGGAAGCCGCCAACGGTGAGCGTATGTTTGCCGCCCTTGGAGCTGTTGTTGGTGATGCAGTACACGATCTGACTGCCGTAGGAGCCCTTCTTGGTGCAAAAGTAGTTGTCGTTGGCCTTAAGGATCTCGGAGGCGGTGTTGACATAGTCCTTGTCGAGCTTGATGATGTGGTTGCGCACCTTGTTGAGCGTGGCGGTGAGCTTGTACAGGGGCGACTCCTTGTCATAGCCGGACTGCCAGAGAGGCTCACGGTTGTGAGGAGTCTCGAAGCCGTTAAAGTGCTGCTCCTGGCCCTGGTACACGGTGGGAACGCCGTCGTTGAGGATAACGTAGGTCATGGCGTTCTTGGCAATGGCCATGTCGCTGTTCTTGTTGGCGAAACGGGGCATGTCGTGGTTCTCGACAAAGGTGCCCAAGGCAAAGGTGTCGTTGCAGTTGTTGATGGCCTGCTTCTTGATCTGGGCGAGCTTCTCGAAAGAGCCGCCGTTGAAGCCCTCGATGAGCTTGTAGTAGTCGAGATAGTTGGGCATGCCGGGCAGGAGGTCCAGAGTCTGGTAGCGGCAGAAGTCCTCGGTCTCGCCCGTCAAAACCTCGCCCCAGGCAAACACACCCGAAGACTTGACAAAGCCGGGCAAGAACTCGTCGTTGACGTGCTTGGCGGCGTCGATGCGGAGACCGTCAATGGAATAGTTGCTGACAAGACCCTTGATCCAGCTGTTCATCTCCTTGATCACGAATTCGTTGCGGGTGTCGAGATCGGCAAGGGCAACGCCATAGGGGTAGAGCCAGCAGTCTTGGTATTCGGTGGCGTTCAACCAGCCCTCCTCGGTGACGTTGCAGTAGGGATGGAAGTACTTCTCGTCGTTGAAGGGGTTGAACTTGGAGTAATCGACCTTGGGAGGGGGGTTGTTGTCGAACTTTTGGGCCATGTGGTTGACGACAACATCGGCCATGAGGTAGATGTCGCGCTTCTTGAGCTCGGCCACCAGATCCTTGAAGTCCTTCTCGGTGCCAAACTTGTCGTTGAGGGCATACAGATCGGTGGTCCAGTAGCCGTGATAGGGGTCACCGGCGGCTGTGTGCTCCTCCATGTTCTTGTTGATGGGGCTGATCTGGATGGCCGTGAAGCCCATGTCTTGGATGTAGTCGAGCTTGTTGATCAAGCCTCTCCAGGTGCCACCGCAGAACTCGTGGGCCTCACACTCGTGGTCGATGGAGCCATCGGTGCGGGCATAACGGTCAATCATGACCTGGTAGACGGATCGTGTCTTCCATTCCTCAGCGTCGGCAGCAAGGCCGAGGCCAGAGAAGGCCAGACTGGCAACGCCAGCCAGGCTCAAGAGTGAAGCTCGCATGGTGGGTGTCTTGCTGTCAAGCAGAAGCTGAGAATATCCCAAAATAGGAAAGCGACGATACTTGTAAGACGGGCAGTGAAAAGCTGGTTCGGATGCACCGGTGTCTTCGGCCCAATATTTTTTTCTTCCTCCTTCCTTGTTATTTATGCTTAGTGAGTGACTCGGGTCAGATACCCCCTTCTTTCTTCGTCTTCTTGCTTTTCGTCCTAACACATTGGGGCCGAAAGGCAAAAAAAAAAAAAAAAAGAGTGTGAATACGCCTAAGACGGCGTTTTTGGGAATGTGTGTATAAAGCGAATGTAGGGAATAAACAACCGTTGAGGTGTCAAAGATGACTGGCGTCAGGTTGGACAGACGATCTGGGAGAAAATAAAAGGGGGGGCAGCCCGGGGGGAGGGAACACCGCGTCCCTACAGGACGCTACGGACACGCTTTTCGACCCGACACCACTGTGCTGGGCATGTCGGGAGGGCCCCGGGGACACCGGCCAGTGGTTGACATTGGGGAGAAGGGGGTGGGGGGGGGGGGGGGGTGTGTTCATGGGGTGTCCATGCAACGGGACGAGATGAGAGATGAGGAGATGAGCCTACCAGCCAAGACAGTCCAAGAAGAGGCTGGACACTGTGCATTGCTTGCGAGAATGAGGAACCAGTAGGGGACCCCTGCCACGCCGACTCGTGTCAGTCGAATGTTGACCCATCCGGTCTCCGCTTTGAACTGCAGGCTTTTTCTTGGACTGAAATTAGGGGCGTTTCTGTTTTTCTCATGTAACGGTTCTGCCGGCGGCAGTGTTGCAGTAAGGCATCCGTACCTACTAACTAACATGACTTCCAAGTTCTATCTACCCTACACATCTATGGTCGGGATGAGCTTCCGAGTCGTGCGGTGTTGAAGAGGCACAGAGGGTTAAGTGATCCTGCCGTTGAGCCAAGCCGTTGTCGGGTGTTAGTGTATGCCAGATGGCAGACCTGCTTGCCAGGCGGGATGGGGGATGCCAGCGCGCGCGCGCCGCGGTGTGGCGTCGAATGGCGGAACATTGGCCAGGTAGGTACCGGTAAGCGAAGGGGTGTGGACCTTTTGTTCATTCTTGGCGCACCACTCTTTTCAGGAACTCGAAGCCGCCGACCGAAACATCTTCTCCAGAAAAAAAAGGAGCACCAGCAGCAGAAGCAGAAACACGAAGGCCACTAACAGCTGGCTCCATCCCGGTCATTTCGTCGTTTCGGCCTGTCAGTGTCAGCAACACAAGAGACATCCACGACATCCTTCTCTTCCAGTGAGTGCCATCAACCCAAGGCAATGCTCCAGAACGACACCAAAGCAGCAGGGACTTTTCTTGTCGTCGCGCTGGGCAGTCGACAGAGGCCATGGCAAGGCGCGAACCAGCACGCAAAGAATTCTTCTTTTCCGCCTTCCGAAGCCCGATCGAGCGGGTCGCATCGAATCTACCGCGGTACCTCCTCTGCGATCCCTGTCTGCGCACGCTCGTATCGAATCAAGCTGCCAGGGCCCAATGGTCACAGTGCGCTGGACATGGAGGGTCGGAGGCGACAAACCAGGGCACTCTCCACCCTGCCGACACAGGTTTTGCACCATGAACCTCGACAAGCCTCAAGCTTCCAGTCTAACCCGCCTTATCGCCCGTCCCAAGAAAAGGGGCAGCAGTGCACCGTCGCACCGGCCAAGGCCTGGATAAGGGAAAATTGGGAAAGGCACCAGGTACCTGTTGCATTCATCCACATCCGCCCACCAGCCTCCTCTGCCTTGCCGGGTTCTTCATGTTGAGAACTTGTGTTTTGTTTTGGCCTTCATGTTCATCTCACCGTCTCACGGGGGCCATGCCGGCATTTTCTTTCCTTCGACGGCCTTCCAAGGAGATGGCCGAGGGTCCGCGAAATGATGTCGATGCCGTCGAGATGAAGTGGGAAAAGGAGAGCTGATGAGCCAACGAGCGAACATGCCGAAAGTGATAATTCCTATCAAAAGCAACTGATAGGCCGAGTGGTCTCGGCGCGGCTCCGCTTATCTGCGCTCCGGTATTCATCCGCGCGAGGGTGGCCAACGCGAGCTGGGGAGGTGTGGCAGCTGTGATGCTCCCACGCCCAGCATCCAGATCTCCACTTGGAAGGTCTGACCACGGGTTTCCATGCCCCCTTTTCCCGCCTCTCTCTCTCTGTGACCGGATGGGGCTTCGTCGTGTCGTGGAGTTCACACCTAGGGCTGGCTGGCCTGTCCAACGTGTCTCGTCCGTCCGGGGGTCGGGAGGGGGGGGGGAGGCTTCGATAGCGCGCATCTTTTTCCCTTTCTAATCTGTTGGTGGTTGCCATCATCGTCCTTCTTTGTATTGTTGTGTTTTCGAAAGTCGTACTGCTGAATTTTTGTCTTGTCTTGTCTTTTGTTTTTTATTTGGCATTGTCTCTCGTTTCCAAACCTACTGTCGCTCCCAATGAGAGGCGAGCGACGGTCAACATGATCCGCCCTCCGTTCTTTTCGAATGCCCTACTCGTCACCCTCCTTACGGCCACCACACTCGTTCAAGGCCTCAGATACGACAAAGATGAAGAGAACTGGAACCTCAACACGAAGAAGTCGGCCAAGACGCCGCTCGAATATGACTACGATGTCTCTCTACGACCAGAAAACTACACCTACATGGAGTCCCCCACAAACTGGCGGATGCCCGTATACACTCTCTTTTTAGATCGATGGGTCAATGGCGACCCGAACAATGACGACATCAACGGCACCCTCTACGAGACCGACATGATGAGCACGCAGCTACGCTTTGGAGGAGATCTCGAAGGACTGAGGGACTCTCTCGACTACATTGCTGGCATGGGTGCCAAGGTATGCTGAACGGCGGGGGGGGGGGTTCGACCATCAAAGAAGAGAGGGCAGAGGGTGCTGACAGACGACAGGCCATTTACATTGCTGGGTCTCCCTTCATCAACTTGCCATGGGGTGCCGACTCCTACTCGGTATGTGCAACTAGAGCTCACCTATCTTGGGTGTGGTGGTAGTGGAAGATGTACTGACCGAGGCCATGCCAGCCCATCGACTTGACTATGCTTGATAAGCACTTTGGACACATCCGTGAGTGGCAGGAGGTTATCCATGAAATTCACGAGCGCAACATGTGGGTTATCATCGATAACACCATGGCTACGTAAGTTTGCTTCCGGTATGTGGTTCCGCTGAGGTGGTGCAAAATCTGACATGTCTCTCCCGGGCAGCATGAGTGATCTGATTGGTTTCGAGGGCTTCCTCAACGAGACGACGCCTTTCCGGACCGAAGAACACAAGGTTCTGTGGAAGTCTGATCGTGTGTACCCCGACTTCTCCATCGGTAACGAGTACAACGAAACATGTGACTACCCCGAATTCTGGTACGAGGACGGCAAGCGCATCAAGCCGCCAGGACTCAAGGGCTGCTACAACAGTGACTTTGACCAGTATGGTGATATCGAAGCCTTCGGTGTGTTTCCCGATTGGCAGCGTCAGCTGGCCAAGTTCGCCTCGGTGCAGGATCGTCTCCGCGACTGGCATCCTTCTGTGGCCGCCCGTATTGAACACTTTTCTTGCATGGCCGTGAGGGCGCTGGACATTGACGCTTTCCGTATCGACAAGGCCGTCCAGGTCACGGTGGACGCCCAGGCTTCCTTCAGCTCTGCGATGCGCAAGTGTGCCACCGAAATTGGCAAGACCAACTTTGCCGTCTTTGGTGAAATCACGAGCGGCAACACGCTTGGATCCATTTACATTGGCCGTGGCCGCGAGCCCGGGGCGGCCGAGAACTTGCATCCCGAAAAGGCCATGAACATGGACTCGGACTGGAAGAACAACCAGGACCTTTTTGTCCGGGAGCCCGGCAACAGTGCCCTCGACGGCGGTGCTTTCCACTACTCCATCTACCGTTCCATGACGCGTTTCCTCGGCCTCAGTGGCCATCTCCAGGCCGGTTTCGACTTGTCTGTCGACTGGGTCATGACCTGGCACGAGATGCTCAAGACCAACGACATGTACAATGCCAACACGGGCAAGTTCGACCCTCGCCATCTCTACGGTGCCACCAATCAGGATGTGTTCCGTTGGCCGTCGGTTGTTCAGGGCATGGAGCGTCAGTTGCTCGCCTATTTCATCATCACGTTTGTGCTCCCCGGCGCGCCCATCATCTACTACGGCGAGGAGCAGGCGCTCTACGCCCTCGATGGTACGGCTGCCAACTACGTTTTCGGTCGCCAGGCGATGGCCCCCTCGCCAGCGTGGAAGGCACACGGGTGCTTCCAGCTCAACGTCACGCAGTACATTGGCTGGCCCGTCGAGAAGGGCCGTCTCGGCTGCCAGGACGACGGCGTTGCTCGTGACCACCGCGATCCTGCGGCCCAACTGCGGAACACCTTCAAGCACATGTTTGCCATCCGCGATCACCTTCGCAGCATCGATCATGGCTGGTACCTCAAGACTCTCGCCAAGCAAACCGAGGAGATTTGGCTGGATGGTAGCACAAACTTCACCGAGACTGGTATCTGGAGCGTTGGCCGGGGGACCTCCAACACGCAACTTGAGGACGAAGAGCCTGTGTGGCTAATCTACAGCAACCGCAACAAGACCCATACCTACGAATTTGACTGCAGCAACCCCGATACCTTCAACAAGGGTGCCTTCATCGCTCCCTTTGACGCTGGCACCAAGATTCGGGATGTCTTTGAGGACGGACCTGAGATCACTCTCGAGGCTTCTCCTGTCAAGAACGAGTTCGACAACAGCACCAAGAATGCGGGCTGTCTCAGCAAGATTGTCATGCCCCCTTATGGCTTCAAGATGTATGTGCTCAAGGACAGCTGGCTCGAGCCGGCCCCCATGATCACCAAGTTTGAACCTGGTCATGACATGTCCATCGATTCCACCGGCAAGGGCGGCGTGATCCCGATTCGCCTCGAGTTCAACCACGAGATGGACTGCGACTCTGTCAAGAAATCGACCACCGCCGTCCTCACGGT